CTACGATCATCACTACAACCATCAAACTTCATTACCTTCATCTCCATCATCAGAGCACCAGAATCATCATCACCATCACTACATCATCAGTATCACCATCACTATGATCATCACTATGATTATCACTACAACCATCAAACTTCATTACCTTCATCTCCATCATCATTAATTTCCATGCCTTTTGTAGGTTGCTAAATCGGTTGCCACTCATCTTGATGTTGATCCAATGAAATTACAGTTCTTTAAGGGCCAAATGTGAGTACTTAAATGAATGTCTTGAAATCAATTTTGACAATTACATGCTCAGGAGTTCTTTCATGCTTAGTAAAATTTGAGAGTGAAAATATGAAGTGTAGTGAAATCAAGCCATTATGACTATGAATACCATCATCAACTTGATCATCATAAATATCTACGCCAATACTGATATCAATATCAGCATCACTCACTCCACCACAAACATCAGTACCACTATCATCAGCATCATTCATCACTTCATCATCAACTCTGTTAGCTCCCTTATTCACAACTATTCTTTTCTCATATTTTTATATTTTAATTTATAGTTATCGTGATGCCCCTGGTAATCTGTTACCATGAACCTTTGACGGCAAACTTTCCTTATTTATGACTACCCTTTTGTTATACTTTTTCTATTTTTCCAGTTATCGTGATGCCCCTGGTAACCCATTACCATGTACCTTTGATGGCACACTTCGCGACCTCCTGATCTACTACAAACCTCGTGGCCCAAAGAAACTTTACTACCAAGTCCTTAGCATCCCGATAACCCAGCTAGAGAATAAACGGCAATTCAAATGCACATGGATGATGAGTGATACTAAAGAAGAACACGACCTGGTGCTCTGGCTGAACAAGGATGCCCTGGTGGAAGATTTACTAGAGGAAGCAGCCATACAGATGGAGTACTCATCTAGTATTGTTGAAAACTTAAGGCTACTGGAAATTATTAGTGCAAAAGTATTCAATACTATCTCTCATGATACTCCATTGGATGACATTGTTAATCAAGGACAAAGGAGCTTCAGAATAGAGGTAGGTTGTGCATAGGGGTTTTAAAGATTCACAGGGTGGTACGTGTATCTTTCACTTTTCTCTCTTATCTGGGTTGCAGGTTCAATAGACTTTATTCATGATGATGCAATGTTTTCCCATTACAGACCACGTGGGAGTCCCAAGAGTATCATTTCTTTGTTTAAGACACATTACAGTGGGATGCATGCACAAAATATATGCACATACTTTTATGCAAAGCTGGCATGTTTTACAAAATAAGGTGCACAAACACTAATTTGGCAGGAAACAACCAGTGCATGGAAGTATGTGAATACTTAAATTAATGTGGTTATACTGTTACATGTTGTAATGTAATATGTTGGATACAACTTAAACAAAGAATCTTATTCTCAAGAATAACATGTGGTCTGTAATGGGAAAACATTGTACCACAACCAAGAGAATATGAACTAAGAGAAGGAATCCCCGTGCCCCATCATGTGCACACTTTGATGCTATTTTTAGAATCTATTCTAAAAATATCTTCCAATGATATCATTTATTTGATCATTTGATTCTCTGCACACGCATAGTACGCCGCACTCTACGCTGTTTGCTAACGTTTTCTTGTGCTTTTCTTATGTTCAAGTGTTTAATCTGTCCTCAAGATGACGATGTAGGTCGAAAGCTTTGGAAAATAAATGTAAAAATACTCCAAAAAGTTGAACAAATTACTACTTCAATTTCCTGTCGTATTTGCCAATCTTTCGACGTGCACATTCATATCCAGGGCAGAGTCGAAAAAACGAAAAAACCCCAAAACGTAAGCAAACAGCGTAGAGCGTGCGCAGTAAGTGCGCGTGCAGAAAAACCAATGGTTTAAAAATAGCATCAAACTGTGCACATGATGGTTACAAGGCTATATAGGGGGAATTCTTTTAGTTTATTTTCTCTTGACCACAATGAATTATATCTATTTGTTCAGGGGTAGTATTATTCACTAACCTCACCAGTGTGAGGTCTTGAGCTCAATCCAATCAATTCAATTGTTTTTTAATAGGAAATCCCAAGAGATGAGATGAATTTGAAAAATAATGAGATACTAATTGGTGTTGCTCATTTCAATAAGGTACATGGATGTATTTGGAAGAATCATCAATGTTTTAAATGTTTGTCATAAATTGTTTTGTTTTTTTTTCAATTTGGGGGATTGCTCCCTACCCTTGTATGTAAATATACCTTGAAAAGTTATCCCTAAAATGATTCGAGCAAATCCCAAATCTCCCAGTCAGGTTAAAGTTTGCATGATTAAGCCACAAGAACCTCTTCCATAAGTCCAACTCTGTCTTCTTGAAAGGAGAGAGATGTATTGAAATTCCCAAATTGTGATCATCAGTATTAATGCAACTGAAAACAACTCGGCGCCTAGACATTGCTTGGTCATATAGTAGCTTATAAATCTAATGAAATATTATATTATGTTCTCTGAATAAGCCAGAAAAACCAAATTTTACAAACTTTGCATATATAATTATTAGCCACGAATGTTTAGGTTTAGGATGAATGTATGATGACGTCATGTGTGACTAGACTAACTCGACCCATTCTTCTTGAGCCGAATGATAGTAACAAGAAATTAATGTCGGACGGAAATAAATCATAAAATGTTTGGCACTTTTCTTCTGAATATCAGAAAGATAATTTATTTCAGTGAGCGATTATTAATGTAACCAAGATTATTTCAGCAAAGTTCCAGCTTGAATGAAAGAGATTTATTTATGGAGCGATTTTCATTCAAGTGCCACTTTAATGTGTCAATAATTATTTAATATTGTTTCCTTTGCACACTTCCTCAGGAAATATATCAAACTTTTGGGAGTCCATTCCTTGTTAAAGTTTCAGATGTGAGTAGTTGATATTATGAACTATTTTGTAAAATGACCAAGTTTGTCAAACCAGTGAATTTGACATGAGTCTGTTATTGTTAATCTAACCTTTTGGTTTGTGTAACTTCAGGGAGAGACAATGTCTGAACTTAGAGACAGAGTGAAGACAAAAGTTGATTTACAAGACAAAGAGTTTGATAAGGTCAGTTCTCATGGTTATCTTTTCAATTAGTTTTTATTCAGATGATGGCTAGTAAACACTAGCGTGGACTGCGTCGGTGTTTCTAATAAAACAAGTTATCGTAGAATGATAAGTTATACACCGTAGTGAAAATAGTAACTGACGTTTCGGAGTCAATCATTGACTCCGACGAAGGACTAACGTCCGAAACGTCAGTTACTATTTTCACTACAGTGTATAACTTATCATTCTACGATAACTAGTTTTTATTCAGGTTTGCTGCTATTTTGATGTTGCTGCTGCTGTTCTTCATGCTGCTGTTCTTCATGCTGCTGTTCTTCATGCTGCTGTTTGTTGTTGCTGTTGTCATTGCAGCAGTTGTCATTGCTGCTGTTGTCATTGCTGCTGTTGTCATTGCTGCTGTTGTCATTGCTGTTATTGTCATTGCTACTTGTTGTTGCTGCTGCTGCTACTGTTGTTGTTGCTGATGTTACTGCTGCTATTGTTGTTCCAGCTGTTGTTGCTGCTGTTACTGCTTTTGTCGTTGTTGCTACTGCTACTGCCATCGTCGTTTTTTGCTGCTGCTGCTCTTGTTCTTGCTACTGCTGCAGGAGTTTTGTTTTCTAATGAATGCACTGCTTTTTCTCCAGATTAAATTTGCTATAATCAACATGGGAAGAGCAAACTATCTACCCGAAGGTAAGCTTGAATTATAGCATTGAAGACTCTAGTCCAGTTTTTATGTCAATATAGGTCAAGTAAATGTCAATAGTATTGACCAAACAGTTGAATGTGTGGCTCTTTTTCTCTATCAGAATCTGACCATGTGATTTCAATAAAGGATTTCCAGCCTCTTTTATCAACAAGTAGGTGTATCAATGAAGAAATAGAAAATGTGTGTTTGTTGTGTGAGTGCTTCCCAACACTTCTTTCAGGAGTGTTCTGCCAATTCCCAAGTTCTTTAGTACTAACTACAGCACAGCAAGCAGGTTTTTTATTTTTTTTATAAAATACAAATTAGAATAAGGAGCTGTTATTTTGGGTGCAACTGACAAAATAGAAAGTGTAAATTTCTGCTGTGTGCACTCGTAATGCATGTGCTGCCAAGCAATCAGAGTGCATTTTATAACAGTTAAATTTATTTAATACCTTCAACACATGTGACAGTTTGTATGATATTCAATATTGAAACAAGTAAAGCATTGCACTTGCCTAACACTTCGGTCCAGTTTCCAAATAGATTTCTGGAGTTGCCCGAGTGATCTCACATGAACGGACCTTGGGTTTTTTCTTTTGATTTGAGGGTTTTTTGACCTTCTGTTTTTTTCACCTTGTAATTTGACCTGCAAGTTAGCAGCATGCCATGACTTAGTTCATCCCAAAGGTTATGTCCAGGTTTAATGAAATCAATAATTGGTGCAGAATATTCATATGGTTCCTTTTCTCTACTCCACAGACACTCAGCCGATTCCAAAACCCTGGCTGGGACTTGATCATGCCAACAAGGCTCCAAAACGCTCACGGTACAGCTACTTAGAAAGACCAATCAAAATCCACAATTGAAGCATAGCTAATATTTTATAATCTCGGTATATCTCCTTGAAGTTTTTACCCAGGATGTAATGATTTTTCTGTACCATAGGTATATTTACAATTATTTGCAATCCTCCAGTTTTCAGTTACCACTAGCTCTTTTCTAGCCTTGCTACTTGCTTCTTTTGTGCCAACAGAAGAAAAGTGATATTTAGGTCTACCTATCCATCCCCAACTCATCCTCATGCATCCCCAACTCATCCTCATGCATCCCCAACTCATCCTCATGTATCCCCCTACCAATATCTGTGCATCAAAACTCATACCCCATGCATCCCCCACTCAAACCTGATGCTCACCTACTTCATCTTACTATCCTACCACCCATCTTCACCCCTCCTTTTGCCGCAAGAATTTCCATACCTAAACTAGAACATACCTTGCTTACACCCTTCAATCTCTTTGTGAGTTCTAATCCGCTCCGTATTATGTGAGAAATGTATATTATTAATTCTTAACTACACTGTCATTTAGACAGAGATAATACAGTATAAATGGTAGTTTACCATGATTTCAGTAGCATGACCCTTATTATTTAAATGTGTACTGAGACTATTTTCCATTCAGCAATGGAGTTTAAAACAGAAGTTAAATCAGTCTGTAGAACTGTGGGACTAGCCCCACAGTCTTATCCAGCACTGACAATAAAATTATTTTGTCTAGTCCTCCTTTGGACTTAAGAAACTYAATAAGACAAATTGCAAGTAAATAAGGCTAGCATAGAATAACAGGTTGCTCAAAATGAGAGTATTGCATAAGCTCCCTTGTAACTTATGTCCATCATAAAAATTAATGCTACTTTAACTTTAATAGTATTTAAATATGGTTTATGAAAAAATAGATGCATGATGTATCTCCTAAGAAAAGGTTTTATTGCATAGTTGGTTATTTATTGGGTATTCTGGGCATTCAAACCACTAACAAATAGCAACCTTAATGGACCACCAACTGATAATCTAGCATCAAACCTTGAACAACCTATCAATTGCCCTCAAATTTCGTAACGACAAACACCCTACCAATAACCTCAAATCCTGCTAATATGCCAGCACCTTACCAACAACCCACAAACCATCTACCACAAACCTACCAACAACCACCTACTGACAACCCACTGACCATCTACCAATAGCATACTGACAACCCACTGACCATCTACCAATAGCATACCAACAACCTGCCAACTTACCAACAACCACCTACTGACAACCCACTGAGCATTTTCCACCAATAATTTTGGGATTGTTCTTTACTCCTACCTTGTTTTCCTACTATAAAGCTGGTTATGTTTTTGTCTAATTATTGCTGAACACAAAGAAAATCAGGTAAGATTTAATAGTCACCCATAATAATAATGATGATGCCTGGATGTCCAATGAACCAAGAGTGTAATAATTTAGTGAGATAAAGACATTATTTAATGTTGACACGCTGTAGGCTGAGAATGTTGTCAGGATTGTCATCCTGCTTGAGATGTTAATTGTTTGTCAAAACTAAAATCTTTATGGCATTAAAAGAAATAATTTGCCACAGAATAAGGTAATTAATTACTACATAATTCCAGGTGAAATTAAACTGAGTTATTTTATTAAATTTTTTCTACTGAAATTTTTGACATTATTGATCATGATTTTCTTTTTTGATTTTTCATTGACCTGAGCATCAATATTTCCTCTACCTAAACCTTGTGCTTGATCAACAACCTCTCTTTATTGCACTGTACAACTTGTTTATAATATTCCATACTGCCTGGTAACCTAGGTTACTAAACTAGCAAGTGTGTTAATTAATTGGTTAATGAACAAGTCGGTATTTAAATTAAAATAGTTCTATACCATGTACTTATTTGATTTCTCGCAGGTGCTGTTGTAATAGTTTCTGGAGAAACAGGTTTACAACTTTTATTAAATTAAATTATTGTTGCTTAACTTGAATCTCTTTTTCACTTACTATATAGCCTTGGCTCCTTTTTTAAACCCCTGGTTTAAAGTGATTTTACTTGGTCCCTAAATGAGCTTTCAGAGTGATAGTCCTTCATTTATCTATTCGTCACTATGGTCCATTCTCAGGTGCTTATGGTCATCTATTTGACCTACCCCATCCAGCATGTTCATGGGAATAGATTCCACTGAAATATAAGTAAATTAAGTCACAAGTTTTGCTAGCAACACAGTCAGGCATAATTATTATTAAATGACATAAATATGCAAGCATAATTATTACAGTGCTTGAGATCACTGTAATGTTCATTATATCATACCATGCAAGACCCTGTGCTTCTCTCTGCACTTGTTTTATGGCCCACTTCATCATACCATGCAAGACCCTGTGCTTCTCTCTGCACTTGTTTTATGGCCCACTTCATCTCAGTATGCCAACTACTTACCTATTTTCCTTGGTGCTGCAAGACCAAGGGTGCTCATAACTTGGATAAAGTCATTGAGTTTCAGAGTCAGGCGTGGGTTGTATTCTTTTTCTTCACCAACTGTTGACACRGTCATTCCTATGAATCAGACAATGATAGCATTAATACCTGCAGTATATTTGAAGACCATTGTTTTGATAAGAAAGGTGTTAGGCTAGAAATTCTGCAATTCCTCCCCAATCCCTCTTCTTCCCCCCCCCCCCCTAAAATGTTTCAGGGTCCCCTAAAGTTAATGACAAACATGTCTGCCCCCTCTTTTTTTTCTCCCCCTCAGCACCTGCTCTCCCTTCCACACTCCCAACCTCAGTTAATAATGAATTGTCCCTAAAGTCAATCATTTAATCAAATGAGAATGCAAGTAGATGTACGCAGACAAGTTTTCTCACCTCTGTAATCATGGCCAGGGTAAATCTGGTAATCGTCAGGGAGGGTCAAGATCTGATCATGAATGGATTGATACAAAACTGTGGAATCACCTGAATAAAAACAATATTGATGTTAACAAGAAGAAATGTTAGAAAGGATATTCAATAGTCACTAGCTTATGCAGGGGCTCGGGGGGAAAATCCTGACAGGTAGACTCAGTTTTTCTCCCGAGCCCCTGCATATCCTAGTGACCGTTTAATATCCTTTCTGTTAATTAATGTGGTAGTTACAGAAAATATCCACACTCCCACCACGGATGGAATTCGTAAGGACCCCCCTATTACTCCCAGGAACTTCCAATTTTCTTCCATTCAAATTCTGTAATTTTTTTCTTTCTCTGACTCTCCTCCCCTTGCTACACCACTGTTGTTACCTTGTTGAAAGTCTGTTCTTCCACAAGCCCTGATCAGAAGGGAATCACCAGTAAATGTCATCTTGGAACCATGATCAACGAACGTCATACAACCTGGGAACAAAAACCACATCTTGTAGGAAACAAAAAATATAGAGTAGGCACAATGGCATGGATATTTCAGTGAAACTACACATTTTATAAAAATTACCATAGGTGTGGCCTGGAGTTGCCCTTGCTTCAAGTTCCTGAATATAAAAAAAACGAGTTTTAGGATACCAGTAATACTTTTGTACATCAAGTAATAAATGAATGGGATGTTTACTCACTCTGTTGCCAAAAGTAAGAATGTCTCCATCTTTGAGATGAATGTCAGATTTTGCTTTGCTTGCCTCGGAGATGACAGTTTTGCAACCAACAAGTCCCTTTAAGAAGCCACTACCAGTGATGTGGTCAGCATGCACATGGGTGTTGACTGTAATTAGATTACTGGACAATCAGCTCAATCATTAATGATTGATTTACTTTATTCCAACAAGGTCTGCTGGGTTTTACTGGATTCTGTGTGTAGGAGGGAGGGGGATAATTGTCTAATCCTACACCCCACGGAATATCCACTCCCTGGGGTGGAGTTGACAGCATTAGGAAATTTTCCTCCCTCAGTCCTCAATTTAACATTTTTGTCATGTAGCCCTAAATATCCATATTTAATACCTACTTGCATATTCCAAATCAAGCTTCAGTTCACTAATAATCTTGGCATCTCTGGAAACCTTAAAAAGAAAAAACAATTTTGGTATCTGGTGGCAGCATAATATAATGTTTTAATGCATAGATTTTATTAGCAAAATATTTACCTTGGTGTCAACTGGATCAATGATGACAGCTTTTCTGGTGTTTGCACATCCAAGAAGATAAGTATACGTACAGGACTCGCCATCAAATAACTGAAGTTAAAGTTGAACAGCTCATACAAACACTTGTCCAAAAACAACAATGGAAGGGCAATGGAAGGTTAATAAATTAGAATTAACTTAAAATAAATAAACAAGGAATGAATCTGTGGGTAATTTTGGTACTTTGATAAGCAAAAACAAAAAAATGTAAGCTTACTTGTCGTAAAATAAGACCACATCGCCTGCCAGCCATCGTACAAGAAATGAAAAAAAATACTTTCCAAAGATCTAGAGTGCACTTTCAAAACACTACTGTTAATGAAAGATTTTGACTGGGCAATAAAAGGATTTGCTTATTGCAAATATGCAATGAAAAAACAAACTGCGCCCAACAGAATGCACTACCAATATTAAGCGATTTACGCGGCACAAGTTCTTCTTTTCCTGATCTGGTGGTGTCGAAGGGCTTTTTATAGAGTGGGGAGTCGAGTCAGACGTCACGTTGCTAGACGTGACAACGAGCACATCTCATAAAAAAATCCCAAAAAAATCTCTTTTATTTCACCTTTACTTGGCCAAAATCAAACCAATTATTATCCTTTATACTTACTTTCTCATTTTATTTTCTAAATCTGAAAATCATTTTTCTAAAGCCTGTTTTAAAAATTGCTAACTCACAATGACAAGGAAGTGTCTTTTGTTATTGTTTTCATGGATGGATTGGGGTTCCTGTTTATAACTGCACCAAGAGACCTGGGTTAGATTACATCACAACATGGCGGCCTGCACACAATAACAAGCTTGTATTTTAGTTGTAAATATTGTATTTTTATAGCCATTTTTAACATATTTTAACTAATATGAAGCCTACTTTAGAAGCTCTAAGCGATGAAATATTAGTTGGGATTTTTAGTTTTCTTTCTGCAAGGGATCTTTGTCGCTGCTCAAAGGTAAAAATATTTTAAGTTCTTTGTCAAATTTTCTAGTTTCGTTTAAAGAACGTTGTTGTTATTAAATCGTCTTTTATTTTTACCATGAAGCTCTTTCTCTCAAAGCTATCAAGCGTATTTCAATGATTTATATTTACTATAGATTCCATTCAGCATTTGCTAGTTCAATTCGACTTGAAAAACAAATTGGTTTACATGGAGAAATTATTTCTATGAAGGGTTTAAACTTATAAGCTTACGTTTGATATTGAAAAATTAAAAATAATAACGTTTCTTTGTATTTCAGGTTTGTTCGTCTTGGTGTAGACTAGCTAACGACTTTCATCTGTATCCTTTGCCTAGTCTGTTGTGGGTATGCTTTACCAATAATGACAAATCATCACACATCTCACATTTTGAGAAAAAGCAGTGAATAAGTGGATGTGCAGGCCATGGTTATACGAAGGGTGGATAGCACTATCAGGGCCCAGTTGTATGAAGGGTGGATAGCGCTATAGCTATCCTTATCCAGTGGATAAATCGATGCTGTTATAAATTCATCCACTGGATAGGATTTATCCATCAGATAGTGCTATCCACCCTTTGTACAACTGGGCCCAGATGGTCATACCATTCCTGTCTGTCCATCTGTCTATCTGTCGGTAAAATCTGTAAAAATCAACTTCTAAATTTCAATTGGAATATTAGATATTAGATATTAGATATTAGAGTGCAAACAATATTATTATTTATATATTATGAATATTTATATATTTATGAATATTTATATATTTATGAAAACTTAACTATTATGCTACATTTCTACATGTGAGTTAGCCCTGCTGATCTACCTTACGTCCTCTCAGCCAAAATTGTTTTGGTGTTGAATAAAAAAACTTGGGAACAGAAATATCATATGCTCCTTGTTAATTTATATATCCTTAACCCACGTTTAGCTGGAAAAATCTTTTTATAAAAACGTTCAACAGATTTGTCAGTGATCCATCATTTTATAACAATGTTACTCCTTCACAATGGAAAGAACTCTATATTCTAAAATCCAACTGGTTTAGTGGACACTGTCATGTACAACAACTCAAAAAGGAATCCCCCGTTCATTCAGATTCTGTGTTAACAAAAGTGACTTGCCTTAAAATATCTAAATGTGGAGAGAATATTTTATCTAGTGTAAACCAAGGTTCAAAAATTGTAAATATATGGAGCTTAGAGGACAAAAGAGGGTTGCATGTGGTTAGGTGTGAAGGTGTTGTTTCGTCATTGGATTTTGGTTGTCTTCGTTCACGGAACTTATTGGCCATTGGCCTTAGTTGTAACAAGGTAAAATATGATATAGAACTATTTCAAAAACGTCCGTGAAGGTTTTGTTGCATATATCAAGCCTCAAATGCACTATGGGGGTGTGAATGCAATGAGTTAAAGGTCACAATGATATGAAATGTTCCCAAAATTCATATGATTTTTTTCTGGCATAATTTCTTCTGTTCAGACATTATTTTATGCATATGAATATAATACATTCAAGTATGCAGCAGGCAACATGCTACAAAACCTTCAGCAACCTTTTTTGAAAGATCTGCACATTTCTTCACTGTTTGAAGCTATTATTTTTATGCCACACAATAATTATGAGATTACTTTTACTATCATATTTCTTTCTTGATCAGATTATGATTATCTAATTTTTTAATTTATATTTTTTAAGTTTTGTCTGTGGGACTTCAAACTTGCAAGATATCGTCTTCATCAAACAAACTTAAATGAAAGATCTCTAGAAGATTTTCCCATTCTTCAAAACATTTCACCTCCTTTCAACTTGTCGGACTCTACTGTTGTGAGGGTGAACCTGGTTGACGACAAGCTGGCAACTGTCACTCAAGATTGTATTATAAAGGTGTGGCAACTGAACTTCAGGCCTGATGGATCTGTGTCTTGTCAGCCTTTACATACTCTTAGTACTAATAAACCAAGGTGAGTGAGGTTTAGTGCCATGTGTTGTGTAAAGTTGATGTATAGCTAACTCATTGGATTATTTAATAAGATGATACAATGAATGATAGCAATTGTGATAGTGTTGTTGATAGTGGTGGTACTGATGGTGTTGATGATGGTGTTGACAATAACAATGATTTTTTTACTCCCTTCTGTAAGGGCATGTCTCATTATTATTAGCAGTAGCAGTAGCAGTAGCAGTAGCAGTAGCAGCAGTAGCAGCAGCAGTAGCAGTAGCTGTAGCACTAGCATGGCAGTAGCAGTAGCATAGCAGTAGCAGTAGCAGTAGCAGTATTGGTATTGGTATGGCTATAGTTTATTTAGTACTAAAAACTAGCACACCTAGTTTACGTAAGATAATAAAAAAACTTAATTTAGTACAAGCTAACTGAAATAAGCATGAGGCTAAACTGGTCAGTTAGATAATGGTGAGTGAGGTTTAGTGTTGTGTGTTGTGTAAAGTTGATGTATAGCTAGCTCATTGGATTATTCAATAAGATGATACAATGAGTAGTGGCACTCATGGTGTTGATGATGGTGTTGATAATGGCAATGATTTTTTTGCTGCCTTCTGTAAGGGCATGTCTTATTATTATTAGCAGTAGCAGTAGCAGTAGCAGTAGCAGTAGCAGTAGCAGTAGCAGTAGCAGTAGTAGTAGTATTATAGTAAGTGGCAGTTTTGGTCACTATGTCTGTGAAAGCAATGATGATGTGTTGGTGATGTTGATGAAGATGATAGTGACTAAGAGGACAATGATGATGATGAAGATGCTACTGCTAATGATGGCAAATGATGATGATGCAATGAACTGAAAATATAGTAGTAGAAATAAAGATGTTGACAACAATGATGATGATTGGTGGTGTTGGTTAAGAAAATTGTAATGGAGGGTAAAGCATAGTACTTATTTCATGTCTGATTCATACAATGCAAAAATACATCCCAGCACTTAAAACATTTKTAAACATTTTCGTGCTTGCCAAAACTGCTGACAATCATGACTTCATTTGCTACTATGTAGTCCCATAATCATACTTATGCCTGTGTATCATAATTCTGTAAATTTCGTACCCATCATCTTTTAGGTGTTCAGTATTGGATATTCAGCTGAAGCATGAAACTGTTAATGGTTATTGGTCAGTGTCTATATCCCATGCAGCAGAAGTATTAGAAAACTGGAATCTTATTGGCTTTCAGGTGGGGAAAGCTGTAAAAATACTTACTTTGTCTCAAAAACATTCACACCTCCTCTTTGAGGAAAAATACATTTTCTAACCCGAGACAATTTTGTAAAAGATGTACCAAAATATAAGCTCCCATCCTTGTAACCCCTTTGAAATTACAAAACCTTCCAATAGGGACTTATGAAGATGTAAATTCTGGAATTGCATAATTTCCCTTTCTCACACTCTGTGATGGTTTATTCCACCTCTTTCTTTGTGGTTGGGGGTGTGGATATTTTTTGGACAGCACAACAAATGGATGTTTAAAGCCCTGTTTACACTATTAATTTTTGCGGCGATTTTTGCTGCGTTTTTTTTTTGCGATTTTTTCCATAATAAATAATGGTAAAGAATTTACTTGTAAAGTTTTTTTCAGGATACCAAGATTTTCCTAGACAAATGTCTCTTTTGAAGGATGAGACAAAAGATTTCATATTTCTGAATATTGCCATAAAAACCACAACAAAAATCGCCGCAAAAATTGCCACAAAAATCGCTGCAAAAATTGCCACAAAAATTGCCAGTGTAAACAAGGCTTAATACATACTACTGTAGGTTCATCTTTTATTCATAGTGTATAACTGAGTGTGTATTTTTTATTCTTTTCACAGTCATTGAAATTTCAAGGAATAAATCTAGTGAATTTTGAAAGTCCTGTCATTACACCAGGTACGTATATGATAAAGAAAAAATATGAAATAATATTATATAAAATATAAGAAATATTAAGATATGAAGAAAAAAAATTTGAAAAAGATATGATAAATATAACAGTTACTATAAAAAGCTCCATTTAATTAATCAATAAATGCACTCTCATTAATCACCATGCCACAGCTATACACTATACAGGCTTCAATACAGATATTGACTACCATCTAGAAGACAAACAGGAGTATAAAAGGCAACAACAAGAGGTGAGCAGTAAAAAAACACAGGGAAAAACACACATGACCACATAAAATGATGGTACGTTCTCACTTAGAGACTCAGAAGAGGGCCACAAGTTAATAATTAAAGTGTTAGGTTGGCAACTGTCACATGTCACCCTCTCTAAATAAATAAAGACCATTATATCAATATGTTTTATTGAATGTTGACAGTACTGTCCAACTTGCAAAAAGAAAGCACTTTTTTCTTTTTAAATTATATACGACATTTCATTGCCTTATACATGCTATTGACAAGCAGAGCAATAAAATCTCTTTCCCTTCAGTGAAGAAGGAAATTATTTATGTAAAATTGATTCCAACTTTGTTTAATTCAACTGATAAACTCATGATAGATTCATGCTCTTAGTGATTAGGGACAGTCTGCCATTAACATGGTCCTTCGAGCCTCAGCAAAGGTCTAACGATTTGTAGATGTAATTACAAAGACAGCACCTTCCCCTTATTTATTTTAAGACCATGAGTGTTGATTGGGCCAAGACTTGAACCACGGCTTCACACACACAAACACAACATATTGACACAAATTTATGTACTAAAATAATTTTATCATTCCTGTTCACCAAGATAATTGCCATCTTGTGCATTGTGCAGACCTTTTTTGTCACAAATTTTATTCAAGTGTTGAGTTGATCATTTATTCATACTTTCGCTTATTTATTTTCTCATTTATTTATTTTTCAGTCAATGAGTTCTAGGACATTCATTTCCTGTCTGTCGATAAGCCCATGTACAAAGCTGGTTACTTCAGGCCAAAATGACAACACTATATCCTTGTGGGACACTAGTACGAAGACTCGCAGGCACACACTTTTTGGTCATACAGGTAAAATTCAGTAAACACTCTCACACCACACTTATAATATTTATGAGTAAGCGATGAGGCCAAAAAAAACAATAGAAATCAGTCGCCTAGGAGAAGTCTGTAAATGGGATATAGTTTAATGACCATCATTTGCATAACTTTTAGTAGAATATGAAATAATGCACCTAAACATTTGATAAGCAATATGCAAAATTAACATAAGATTGGTCCCTCATATTGTATATAATATTACAAAACAGACAGTATGGATATGTTCATGACATTGTAGTGCCTGGCCATTTTGATCCATTAATGAAACATAATTATAGTACCATGTGGCATGCGACAGTTCTCTTTAGCTGGGGCATATAATAATGTTTCCCATTACAGATCATTTATTATCTTAAGAATAAGATTCTTTGTTTGAGTTGTATCAATATTCATGTGTCTTCTCATGTGCCACCATTAAACAAAGAAATTATACTCTAGAGAATGACACATGGTCTGAAATGGGAAAACATTAGACCCAAGGTAAGGAGGCCTGCATATTTCACAGTCGTACAAAATCTATTTTGATATTTTATTGCTAACAAAATTATTTTTTTAGGTTCTGTAACCTGCACTGATGTTGACAGACATAAGGTTGTTAGTGGTTCAAATGACAGGACTGTCAAGGTAAAAACTGGCAGTGTTAACAGTGCCACACTTAATACTACTGTGGTCACTGTTGAGAAAATAATATTCTTGGAGTGCAAACACAAGATTCAAAATCCCTTGAGACAAATAGCAATGAAGCAGCTGCCATGTTGGACAATCTAGAAAGAGAATTTTATGAGGAATGCTTTGTTATCATCAACCAACATGGCAGCTAGGACATCTCATGCACCCAAAGAATAAAACAGTTTTCTGTTGTTTTTGATCATCTGATCTAAACACAATGGGAAGTTGGGGGAACATGAGAAAAGTGTAAACCACAACATCCTTATGATTTACACGACCTGAATAACCTCAGCATGAATTTAAATTTAAATTTAAGTTCTAATTTAAATTTTAACTGAATGGATTTTTTTTCAATAATTTAAACTGTACTAGCTCATATTAAGTTTATTTGATTATGTTATACTAATGTTAATTTGATGAACGAAAAGTATAAAAAATATTTTTTAAAAACTGAATAAAAATAAAGACATCAGAAGTCAGTCGTTTAAAGCTTCACTCCAGCTTCTCTTCAATTGGTTCTTTTTCCAGGTTTGGTCCCTTGAGAGTGGAGATTGCCAGCTAACTCTCCCAGAGGATCATTCATCAGGTGTGTCCTGTGTCACCTTCAATGACCAATGGGTTGTTAGTGGAGATAATTCTGGAGAGATAAAGGTTTGTTCCATTTGTCTCTATACTTCATCATTCTTAGCTTGTTTCATTGTCATGGGAGACTTGCCCTAAGCCATCCTCTCTTGTTCCCCAGGGAGGTTTTTATTCAAGCAAAAGTGAGAATTTGTCAACAAACAAGCGATAAGGCTATACAAATTAGTCCAATGGCCAGGTGAATGCAAGGCATCCAGGGCCAAATTTACAGTATTTTCAATTGAGTAATAATTTGTGTGTAAGAAGGAAAGAAAGACAGAGCAAGTGTATACTTTGAATTTACACCATACTATTTCTTTGCATTTGGCCCAGAATGCCTCGTTTTCATGTAACTCAATAGGCTGTGCACCATTTTGGACTTAATGCAGCTTTCACTTTCAGAAATAGTATTTAATCAAAACATGTTATTTAGCTATGGATATTAAGCTGAACAATTTGCTGTTCTACATCCTGTTATCTATCACATTTTGACCTGGCTCATTTTTGAGCTCTGTTGCCATGACAACATCTTTCCTTCCATTATTGTTTATGTCGTTGTGTTTCGTGAGGTTTAGGAATTATCTGTGAATACTTTGTTTATAATAATCCACAGTAAATAATCCATTTTTATTTATCCACAATTATTGTCATGGCTCCATCTTTTCCTACTTCTCTGTCATAGCGCACCTCTTGTTGCCATCACAACCATTCACTTCCTCCTATTATTCTTTATTTCAATCCTGTTATTTAAATTTAGGACGTCACTGCAGATCATTTCCTAATGTTAATCTATTCCTACCAGCTATTGGTCTACCGATGTCCCCCTGTTGTCATGACAACGCTACACTAGCCTCCTTAACCATTTACCTTGTCATGTTTTAAAGGTGTGGGACTTTGCTGTTAACAGTTTGTCCGTTCTTCAGAGTCAAGATTCGACAGAGCTCAAGTAATACAGCCACAATATTATGCATACTTATTATGAAAAAATATATAAAATAATACACAGTAAACAAAAATAAATAAAGGCATCTTAATATCTTTCATTAATCTTTCCTTCCGTACGTCGAGGAAGTGAGGAAGGACGTCTTACGTCCAAAACGTCAGTGGTAATGGTGTTTTAGATTTAGCACTTTCGCAAAATCTTTCAAACTGGTTCTTCTTTCATTTGATTAAAACAATTGTAACAGTTGTAAATTTCTTTAGGAATCCTAACTTTTCTTTTTTTGTGGAGGGCACAAGTTTTGCATCTTGTTATTTTACGTTTTAGTACTTTTAAAAAATTTTCCTCATAATTTTTGAAGTCATTCCAGTTTTAAATGCATTGTTTACACTCCAGTTCGTATTACTGCAAATCTTGGTAAACTTTACTGCATGAGTACGGTTAGTGCCACGTTATGACATTGTTTTAATTATAGCACCCCAAATGAGGTTCCTCGGTGATAGGTCCAAATTCAATCCCTAAATATATACTCGTGAAAAAGAATTTAAACTTTACGTGGGTTATTTTTGATAAGGAATTAAGAAAAAATCGTATCCTTTTTAACCCCCAGATAGGCCTACGTAACTCTAAGGTACTCCAAAGTATTTGACGAAATTTTCGCTAAAACAGGAAAAATTTTCCAATGATAATTGTGAGTTATGGTATTTTATTTTCGTTTAAAGCTAAAGAGGACGCGAAATATTTACCCAAAAAAGGGTGGTTTTTGGCTAAAATACGACTGAACTCGTGGGAAGGAGGGAAACGTTGCGTGACGACCCTAAGAACGGCTGCGAAGGAGGCTAAAACTTGACACGTTCGGTTAATTATTTGACCAGTATTTTTTTTCAAATCCCATTCTTCTGCAATTATGCTGTACTTTGAAAGAAATTCTTACGAAAAATATTGTTAATTTCTCTCGCTTATCCTCTTGTTTAATTTACATCATTCAAGGTTCTTGTGATGCATTTGACACATGCAGTATTTAAGGACTTCTTTAAACATTTCTCTGGAAGAATATATAGTCATTATTATAAAAACTATGATATTTGTTCATTTAAATTACCCTTATGTCAATACATCGTATATTAATGCCTTACTTTTCCAATCCTGACAACTGGAAAATAAGTGGATGCAATTTTGAGCCTATGTTTGCTACTGAAGCGAAGACTTCGCTGGTTGCTTTACCAAGGCAGCTGTACAAACTATTTATTCCCATTTAATGAATATTTGTTTTGTTGACTCGGGAAATAAGTCGATTTATCCAGAGACAGCGCATCAACTGGTTTAAACAGTCACTGAGAACGAATACTTATCGGTTGACTCCATCCAAGTCCAAGCAACTACTGAACATTGCCAAAGAAATTCAGTTTCAAAGAAGAAATTTCGTGATGCAGCAAGAAATTGTCGACTTTACATCACTTTGTTCGTCTTTCCGAAAAAGTGTTTTGCTCGTTACTTTCTTTGCTGCAATACTTCCCGCGGGAATGGTAGCTTTCTATCCATTAACCGTTTACAATCATATTATGCCCAAACAAATATTTCGACGCATCGAAACACAAGACTGGATGGCTTGCCTCCAAGAGTGCCACTCAGATGTCGACTGTTCCTCGTATAACTTCAAATACGACTCTTCTAAAATAAGGAGGAATTGTGAGCTTAGCAAATGTGCAATAGGAGAAGGAATAAGAGGAAAAGAGAATGACCTACTGTTTGAACGAGGGTTTGTGTTCCAGCAAATTCGACCAAATAAGGTGAGAAAATATCTGTAATGTACATGCGAAGAAACATTTCGCTCATTTTACATCCAGTCACTGGAAGAAAGAACATATTTTCTTGGCCAGCACACCTGGGCCCGGTTGCAGGAAGGGTGCGGGGATAGTACCATCCGTCAGTACATGGTTAATTCTTTATCTAGTAGATAAAATGATGCCAATAACTTTATCCACTGGATCAGGGATTTATCAAGCGGATAGCGCTTGACCAGGTCATGATTGAGCACAGATTGTTCTGATAAATTAACGAATGAATATTTGACCCAATATATTTAATTTTATACCGTTTGTTAGAATAAAAGTTTATGTGCCATTGAAGAAAAAGACAAAGTTCCTGCTTTACCATTTGGTAAGTGATATTTATCACATAGTCATAAAGTAAAATATGTCGAATGTTTGGCAACCGGTTGTTTCCCTCGATCTTACGAGACTATTATGGAAGGCCAGCTAAACCATGGCTCGACCTCCTTGAGCAATCTATTATACATAATTTGATGCTATTTTTGAGAAGCTCTAAAATGTCGGTCTGTTAACGAAGAATGCATGTTTTTGAGCTATCCGTTTTTAGCCTATACAATGATAAGCACTTTTTACCCTATTAAATGTAGAATTTGAAAATGGTACTCTTTGCGTGAAATGTTGAAGAAATAGAAAACGTGCGCGCGTGCTGTGTTCAGTTGTAAAGCACGCGTGCATTGGCAGAACACGAGAGAAGTGTTAGGAGAAGCATGACGCGTAGCGGAGTGCTTCTCGACACTTCTCGAGTGATCCGCCAATCCCCAAGCAAGCAAGTCTTTTATTTCTTTTATAAAATACAAATTACAAGAATGACGAAACTGAAAGTACGCGAGCGTGCTGTGTGCTCTCATAAAGCACGCGCTCCCAACCAATCAGAACAGCTTCCCAATTCATTTTTAACCTCAACATTCCAGTGAGTAATCGCCAGTTGATCGTCAGTTTGGGACGTGCATTGTAAAGTGTTAAGCAATTCAAACTGGAATATTATATGTGTATTTTTCTTAATAACAGGTGGCTTAGAGGCGTCATTGATCCTTGAAAACTACAGTCGTCAATATTTGATGGATCTTTACAACTACCTTAATGATGGGATAAAAAGACGTCGGAGGTGGAACAAATGCTACTATGCGAAAAATAGAGACATTAGTCCTGCGGAATTTCACTCGAGATGCGATTCAAAAGGACCGACAGTTACTATAATACGAGATTCTAAATACATTTTTGGGGGATACTTTGACTCTTCTTGGAAAAGTAAGTAAAAGCAATGACGAAGGGATTACCAAGTGAAGAGTAAGGAATGCCAACAAGCTAGGGTGAAGCATCCCATGGATGGTGGATGTGATGGGTGAAGCATCCCATTGATAATGGATGTGATGTGTGAATTGATCAAAACTTAGTATATGCAGTTAGAAAAATTGGTGTTCCCAGAGGTAATCCAAGGTTTGTTGAATCTAGAACTTTGATGAAACCGCTTTTTTTCTTGATTTAAAGAATGCCAAATGGCCTGCTATAGACTTAGAGACTATAATCAGTGCAGATGATTTCTGGGCATCATGGAAAACTACTTTTCTTTATGTCATAGACAAACATGCTCCATCGAGAACAATTAGAGTACGCAATAAACCATCACCGTGGATTACCTCTCTGACATCAAACAGCTGATAGTTGATGCCATCGCTAAAAGTTGCCATTGACATTGGCGTTGGATGCTTTGATGCTCAATGTATAACACACAATAAAAGAAGCAATATATTATATTTTTTTTTAGTATATGCTGATAATCACTATAACAATTTTATATTGTTTACTTAGGTTCTACTCAAGGTTGTGGTTGGCTGAGGGGCCCAAGAGCATTCCTGTTCTCCTTGTATAACAAAGACCACTATAAACCCTATAAATTTAACATAAAGTCAGACAGAATTGGTACAACAGTTTATGACTGTTTGTCTTTTGGTCCAACTTTTGGCCAAGGTCATGACCTCACAGTTTATCCCAACAGCTCAAATTATGGATCTCAATATTTCCGTAGTTTTTCATACGAAACCCCGCCCGGCTGCAAGTACAAGGTTTACCCATGTACGTTTTACACAGGGAGGGCTTACTTCAGAGTTGATGAGATCGAGGTCTTTTATGAAAACAAAATAAACTCTTGACATCATGCATTATATTATTGCTGAGGTTGGATTCAGGGGTGGTAAAGGGGGCTAAACACTCTTAATCAAACTAGGAACTTTCTTGTCATGCTTGCATTTACTAAATGAGCAAATCCAAGGGCGGATCCAGGGGGAGGGGGGGCAAAGAGGGGCTGAAGCCCCCCCTTCAGCAGAATAAAACGATGCCTTTTTATATTGTTTTCCGTTGTGTTGACGGAAGAAACTCAATTAGCCCCCCCCCCCTAACATTTTGGCTGGATCCGCCCTTGAAATCCTATGTCCTTAGCACCTATCCCTCTGTTATGAATACAGAAATATTGTCATTGGTGAACGGTCATTTCACCCCTAACAATGGAAGCAGACGTGAATTTATCGAGCCCTGAATGGTATTTACCTCGGGGAACATGGAAAAAGGGTCATAATGATATGATGATAATATTTTGAACTAGGCGCAAGATTGCGCAAGCCCATCTCAGCTCAAGTTTATGGCTGTGGTTGAGAATCGATTGGTTATGTGTAGTTATGAAGCAGAATGATAGGTCTGTGGGTACTTAGGAAACTAGGTTAATTACGCCTCAAAGATACAGCTATTTCAAAAAAGGTTGAAGGTTTTGTTGCATGTTTCATGTTGCATTTTGCATCTTAATTAAATCTTGCTATTAAGCTAAGCTTGAATTTTATTTGATTCATATGGAAATAAGGTCAGCATAAAGAAAATATGCCGGTCAAACGTGCACACAACATGCAAAATTTGGAAAAATCCATATCCTTGTGAGCCTTCGCTGCATTGCATTCACATTCCCATAGTGCCTTTCGGACTTGGTATGCAAAATGCACTACCTCTTTTACCAACTTTTTTTGAAATAGCTTGAATATGATTCACGAATTCTGATACACTTCAAGGATAACTTTCGATGATTATTACAATAAAATAAATGTAGTCAAGAGATTCAAATAAAATGATAACTAATAAAACTGTCTGGATTCATTTGATAAATTCAATCTATATTGTGCAAACTCTCGACTTAACGATAGCAATTCAGCTGCAACATTCGCTCTTTTTTCTTCCGTTGTTTCTTTCTTTTTCTTTTTTTACCGGAAAAAAAGAACGAACAAAATTTCTCAAAACGAATGCTCTCCGAAACCTGTACGAGCATTTCCGAAAACGTTAATATATCACGTGATAAATATTCATTTATTTGGCGGGAAATTTGGCAACATGGTGGAAAAACAACCTAAAGAATTTCGATCCTATTTTGTTTTCTATTAATGTCGGTGAATTAATTCTTAGTGTAAAAATTTATCACTGTTAGCAAGAAAGCTGAATTTATATTCATGCTAAGTGGTTCTGGATATTTGGGATCGATTTGTTGTGATAATTTGCTACGTTCGTGTCGTTCGACAGTTCGTAGAGATGGATGAATGCGACCTTCCGTATCCAGAGGAGGATGACTTCGAAGACCAGTACGCTGATGAACTGGAAGTTTTAAACGAGATTGGAGGAGGTGTATACAGAATACTTCACTCAAATTACACTACTTCTGCTGTCTAATTTTTCAAATAACATGAAGATAAAAAATGATCTTGTAACCTTTGCTTATGGTTTTGTTTTCGTAGTAGATGGACCTCCTTCAAGAAAATCGCTAAATTTCGATGGCCATTCCGTGAAGGGATTAGACTTAAGTAGCCAGGAAACGTCGATGGATTCAACTAAAGACTCGACCACATCAAAAAAGAGATCAAGTGATGATATGTATGGAAATATATCAGATGATGATGATAATGATTATGCTGCTAAAACACTACCAGATCTTGTTATGGACGTTTTAAGTTAGTATGAACTCTGATAATAATAATATATGTTGTTGAACACAATTATCTTTCTAATTTTGTTATTTTGATAGTTATTTACACATTTTCAAGACAAAAATAACCTGTACAAAGTTCCCTCCCTTCCCCTCCCCCTCTCCCCCCCTCCCCTTCTCCCCCCCTCCCCAAGTCTTTTTAATTCCCATTTTGATATTCATTCCTTTCTTTCTCTCCTGTTCATGGTACATGAGAATATTTTGAATATATATTTCAAAAATTGCACTTAAAGAAATAGTTACATTTATTTTTGAACAACAATGTCATTTTTGTGTGTTTTAGGTCCACTGAAAAAGAGAAAAAGGCAAAAGAGTCCAGAATCAAAAGATTTAGAAGATCTTAATGGAAATACTTTTCCAATGGAACACAACAATTTAAGAAAAAACATATCGCCATTTAGGTCTCAGACATATTTGGATAAACAATCACCTATTACCAACTCACAAGCCATGAGACATCTGGATTACTCTCGGCGCACTAGTGTATATACCAGACCACCTATGGGCAAAGATACAGTGACGATCACCAGGACAGACGGACAGAGATTGTACCTTGGACTGAGAGACCAATCAAGTGAGGAGAGTCCAAAAAAGAATAAGGTTTGTTTGTGTTCTACAGATAGAGTGAGTTATCTGTGGGTATGGGAACTAATGAAGGCATAGTGATAGTGCACCCACATCTAATCTCTAGGATTCTTGGGTAAGTTGCCTGGACTTGGCATCATATTCATGTTGTTTTGTTAGGTCTCTCCCTTGATTTGTAAGTTTTTCTCCAGGTTCTCTGGTTTTAGTCCCCCTGGGAAACCTGACATTTCTATAAATTTCAATTTGATCTGTGAGTTAGCATTGCCCTGACTTCAATCAGCCCAGAGATTGTTTCAGACTGAGTGTTCAATCTGTAAGTCAGACCTGCCTTGACTTTGATTAGCCCAGACGGTTATTTCAAGGGTTCGATAACATTATTTGATGGTTTGAAGATGAGGATTAACAACTTTATTTCTTCTGTGTGTTTTCTTCTTACAGCAGTTTAAGTCTCATCAAGATTCATTACAGTTGCTTCAGATGCCTTTCAGCACGTTGAGACAACAGGTCGATGAGGAGGTATTCATTACATTTCTTCTTTATCTTGACCAGTCACATATTATTATCTTGTAAAGATGCCTCTAAATGTGATGGATTTATGCATGCTTTTTTCCTTCAGGATTATCTATAGGAACATCAAAAAGACTCATTAATTGCTCCATTAAAAATTTTACTGCATCTGAATTTCAAGAATTATCTTAGCATATTTTTGGAACTCAATATTTTGGATTCAATTATTATTATTCCAGGACTTAAAATAATTGCTGGTCAGTAACTGGTCATGATCACCAGCCAAGTTAATTTTAGCTCAGTTCTTGCTCAGTTATCAGTCAAAATGACTGGCAAGGCAAATCTTCGACTAGACAAGTCCCAGTTCTGGCCGGACATTGTCTGATGTCTGAAAGCTATTTTAAGCCATATTTTTTTAACAGTTTCCACTGAAAGTTACACTGAGAGTGGTTTATCGCTACGTAATTTATGTTACAGTTTTTTCAAAAGTGTCAATGATTATTTTGTCAACAGCGAAGGAGAAAAATGACAGAAGAATCAGACAGGATAGCTGCTTCACTAAGAAGGTACATATTTTTTAAAATGAAATTGGTGTGGTAGGTCATTTGTTTGTTGATATGTTGTTGGTATAGGGGTGGTGTATTGAAGATTGGTATTCAAACATAGGGTAGGAGTTGTATGTTGATAGCTTAAGGTATGTATAGGTATGTTAGTGATTTATTGATATTTTGATAGTATAGAACTGTTGGAAAGCATTTTGTTGACAATAACGCTAGTTGTTAGTATACTGTTATGATTGCATCTCACCAACTTAGTATATATTCAAAGGGCACTGCAAGGTGATTCTGATGCAGATAACATGGACACAGATGAGGCTGACATAGAGCAAGAGGTCCCTGAACTACCCCAACATTCTCTCTGGGTTGAGAAGTACTCACCCAAGCTGTTCACAGAACTACTTAGTGATGATGTAAGTCAAAACCTTAACTACCACCCAAATTGCCAACACAAACATGTTTTATTGTGTACGTGTACCTAATGCCTACAGTGTTCTTTTCTATTTGAGAATCTGTGAGAGTCCTTAGGGCTTAAGGTCGTATGAGAGTAGAGTTTTTTGTTGGTTCTCTCCCATGCTTCAAGGGTTTTTTCTCCAGGTTATCCAGTTTACCTCCCTCCACAAAAGAAAAAAATTCTAAATTCAAATTTGATATGAGGAGAAATTCTTGATAGGGATAACCTTATATGTCCTTCTCCCATGTGAATAATTTTTTTTATCTATGAGATATTCATTATTCATATTAAAGCACATTAGATCATATATTTTAAAATGAATTTTTGCACTATGTAACTTATTAAATTATTAAATTATTATTATGCAAATTAGAAATAAAGTCAGAAGGAATATTTATCTGTCCATCTAAAGTATATTCCTTTATCATTTGAACCAATAGGCAATAAATAGGACACTCCTAAAATGGCTTAAACTCTGGGATAAAGTCGTTTTTAACAAGATGAAGGAGCATGACAAGAAGCAACATGCCGAACAGAAAAAAGAAAAAGAAAACATGAAGGGCCCCAAGAAGTTTGGGAGTTTTAATAAAGGTGGAATTGAAAATGAAGAATGGCTGGTAAGTGATTTTATTGTTGCTGATGTTGTTGCTGCTGCTGTCGTTGTTGTTGCTTTTGCTGTTGCTGCTGCTGCTGTTTTTGCTGCTGTTGTTGGTGGTGGTGTTGCTATTGTTGCTGTTGTTGTTGCTATTGTTGCTGCTGCTGTTGCTTTTGCTGCTTCGCTTCTATTTTTTGCTGAAGTGACTTTGCATACTTTGTTGAACTCGATGATGCCTTTTTATTTTTTAGGAAGTGGATACAAATGGATACCCTGTCAGAAAGGTACACATATTATATATTATACCACCCTCCTCCCTCCAACCTCCTTCTTCCAGCGTTCTCCCTCTACCCTCCTTCCTCCACCCTTGCCACTCTACCTTCCTCCCTCCACCCTTCTTCCTCCTCCCTCCACCGAACTACATCCAGACTTCACCCTACTCCCTCCATCCTTGTCCCTTTACCCTCCTTGCACCCTCTAACCTCCACCCTTCTACCTCCCTCCACCCTTCTCCTCCTCACTACTTTTCACTCATTCATCTCCTCTTTTTCTTGGGACCAAAGGAAAACATAATAGAAAGAGTAATCATTTTATTTCTTCAGGTTGCTTTACTCTGTGGTCCCCCAGGCCTCGGCAAAACAACCCTGGCACATGTAATTGCAAGGCATGCTGGTTACAACGTGGTGGAAATGAATGCAAGGTTTGTGTTATATGAAAAAAATTAATGTCTCTTGCTGTTAACTTCTGATTTAGCACCCAAGAGTATCCCTCTCCCATCATTTATGCTATTTGCCCCATCATACCTGTAACTTCCTTATAAGTAGACATAATATTCTTATAGACATGTATTGTCATGGTAATATGTTAGTGACAATTTTTTTAACAATAGGTTTTGTCATTTTTCTTTATTGGAATGTCCACAACATCTTTTGACTTAGGCTCAGGTCAAACGTCAAACTTCACATGAGTCAAACCTAATGACATCAAAGAGGACTGCCTTATTATTCATTGTTTCAATTAGGTTTGGCTCATGAAGTTCTACATTTGAACAGAGCCTTATTCTCACTGCTTACTTCTTGTAATTCATTGCAGTGATGATCGAACAGCTGATGTGTTCAAGCAGAAGATTGAGACATCCACACAAATGAAATCTGTCCTTGGAAAAGATGAAAGGCCAAATTGTTTGGTGATTGATGAGATTGATGGGGCTCCAACGGTAAGTTTACATTTGAGAATTGTACAACCATGTATGCATGTGTTTCTGTTTTAATCTCAAGTGAATGTGATTTTTATTTCACAGCCAGCAATCAATGTTTTGCTTTCATTTATCAAGAAAAAAGAATCAGGTATATCATTATTGTAAAGAATTATTTTTGACTCTGTGAAATGTCGCACCCTAACCTCTCCTCTCCTCTCCTCTCCTTTCCTCTCCTCCTCAATCAATTTTCATCGTTTTTGTCAAAGATGGAAGCAAGAGTAAAAAAAAGAACAAATCACAACCACTCTCAAGACCAATAATTTGCATTTGCAATGACCAGTAAGTTTTTTATTTGCTTTGAGATATTTTTCTCACGTTTGACTTTTCAAGGATTGGATTGGAAATAATGTTGTGCTTTTTGTTTGTATTTCAGGTTTGTTCCATCTCTTCGCCAGCTTCGTCAATTAGCTCTGATTGCAGTTTTTCCAAAAACAATTCCTGGACGTCTGTCAGTGAGGCTTCAAGAGGTAAGGAATGGAAAAATGAAGGTTGAGGCGATAGAGAAAGGAAGAAAGTGGGGGAGGGAGTAGGGAGAAAAGAAGATAGGTTGGAAAAATCAAAGAAGCAATGGAAGCCAAGAAGAAACATAAGTTTCCTGTGTTTTACCTTAGAATTATCCTCTTCACAGATTTCCAAACGAGAGTGTGTCAAAACAGACATGACAACGTTGTTAGCCCTGTGCGATAAAGCAGATAATGACATCAGGTCCTGCCTCAATACTCTACAGGTATGTGGGCCCCCTATACAGTATGTTTATGTGAAACAATTAGCACTAGGCATTCTCTTTTTGCCGCCATCATTACCCCCCCCCCCCCCCCAACCCAAGTAAGGGAACCTATAAACTGCAAAGTCTTGGCCCCAGATATCTGGAATTCAAGGCAAAGCAAATGCAAAAGTGGCTCAGCTGATGACACATTGCCAATACCTTTCTTTAACCCCCAGAAAGTCATCCTGAAACACTTGAATGCAAGGCCACAGGGGGAGGGGGGTGGGGGGATCTATTGTTCCAGTCAGGGTTGTGGCACAGTAAAGTCCTATGGGTACTTTAAATTGCTCTTCTTGCCTGTTACCCTTGTGCATTTGTTCTTGTCCGTCATGAGCTTCTGCCTCATATTCTCACAGTTTGTACACAAACGTCATGGCCGACTATCTCTGGATTATGTACAATCAGCAGACATTGGACAGAAGGATCTTCACAAGAATCTCTTTGCCATAATGCAAGAGATCTTCCAACTGCCTAAACCAAAAAGAAAGCGTTTTGCAGGATTCACTGAAAACATGCGCCGCATAGATGCAAATGGAGGCCTTAGGGATGGACCAGGATTTGGTGGAAAATCTGCATTTCTAGGGCAGAGTGTGTCTGCATTGTCCGGTAGATTCCATAATATTCTTAGATCGGTGAGCTCTTGTGGCCAGTATGAGAAGCTTACACAAGGTATGGACAACAACTTTTACAAATAATTTGAATATGGTATTACCATTTTTACATGTACTATACTGTGATTTTTCAGAGCTTTTCAGAGTCTTTTCCTCGTTTGGTTTAGTAAAGGGTTTGTTCTGATAGTCTGTTTTGTTTGAATCAGGATTATTTGAAAATTATCTCAACATAAAGTTCAAGGACTCTGGCTTCAATTCAGTAAGTAGATTAAAGATACTATTCATCTGTCAGTCCATCCATCCACCCATCCATCCACCCACCCAACAACCTACCCTATCCACCTGTCCATTCACCCATCCAACCATTTTCCAATCTGTACACCCACCCACCCTTCCATGCATTCTCTTGCAATCATTTTCCCTCTACTCCAATCTGACCATCCATTCGTACATTCCTCTTCCATTTCTTTTTTCTCAGGTTTTTTATACATTCTCATGGTTTATCTCCCACTTTGTTTAGATCATATCAGGGACTGAATGGTTGGAATTCTCAGATTTCATAGAGCAACAAGTCAACTCGTCTCAGCAATACATCCTTCGTCGTTATAGTCCATTCTTAGCTGTGTCCTTCCATCTTCTCTACGCCACACCAACATCATCCAAGCTTAGTTATCCCAGCACCCAATACGAGGTATTCACCCTTTTAGGGCCACAGAGATGACACTTAACCCTTAAGCTTATTTGTGTAATGATTTAATTAATACCTTTAGTTTGTTAGCCATGTTGGATATCATAGAGCTGTTTCTGCCAAATGTTGTTTTGCATGCAATTAAAGAAAAGAACAGAAAGCTCAAATCACTGGTGGGTGGTCCCCTCACCTCCTTCCCCACCCCTGCCCTCTCCCTCCTTTGTGCTTTGCATTACCATGCCGACAATATTGTGGGTCCATCAAGTTTCTGATCATTTTTCAACAGTGTCACCTCAAACAAGTAAAGACTTCCAATTTGATAACAACAATGAAATCTGATGCATCACCTCGTATCAGACGATTCATGGATGAGCGAATCGCTTGTACTGAACTATTCCCACCATTATTAGATGTTCTTACACCAAATATGAGACCGGTAAGTAATTGACATGGCTTATATATAGGTCTGTGCTGTAAGTGAGGTGGCCAAAGAAAAAACATCCTACTGGGAAGCTTAAGGACAGCAAAAGTAAGCACATTAGGGAATTTCTCTCACTATTCTATCAATAAGAGTGTTCTTTTGGCTTTCCTTGATTTGTTTTTGCAGTTTTTGATATTATCCCTCTCACCCTTTCTCCCTGAAGGGGGTGGGGGGTGGGGATGAAAATTTCCTCAAAAACTTTGTTTTTACAAGCACCCCTTTGGACCTTTGGGACTTAACTCATTTTTCGAACCCTCCAAACAACCCATGAAAAATAAGCCTGTGGATGAACAGGAGCACTGTTACCCCACCCCTAATCCCCACCCCACATATCAAGTCAATTAATGCAAGGTATTTCATATATAGGTCAATATGCAGTTATTTAGCTCTCGAGAAAAGCAACAACTAGCTGAGTTGATCGATACCATGATTGCCTACAACCTGACCTACCACCAAGAAAGAAACTACGAGGGACAGTACAGCTATGTATTGGACCCGTAAGTGTAATGTCCCTGTTCAAAGATTTGATCATTTCTTCATCATATGATGTTCTCTCAGGCATCCCAGACCTCCTATATATCCTATATTTCCTATAATTTGTATAGGATCCTATAAAGAGCCTATATTTAAAGAAAACCTCCTTTATTTCCTATAAATAGGACGACTGATGGGTGATAGATTTATATTTTACACTGTTTAGCATATTTGGCGAAGGAAATAAAATCCCTTGTTACGGCACTGAAAAGCTATCTTAGCTCCTATAAAGTGCATATATTTTTGGGAAAAAATCCTATATTTTCCTATATTTAGAACTTGCACAGCCTATATTTCCTATCAAATTTGTCTAAAAAGTGGCTGGGATGCATGTTCTCTATACCCACGCTAAACCAGAATGCACCTTGTTGGTCAAAAAGCTTGAGGTGTGTAAGCCCTTCAGAAACTGGTGATAAGCAACGGACTGATGAGGCCATAGTGTCTCCCCCAATTTTCTTTGGAATAAAAGTTTACTCTGTTCTTTTGGCAGGAATGTTGAAGAAATTGTCAAGTTTCTCACTCTTCCTCAACACAAACAGCTGACATATGCAACAAAGCAACTGATCGCACGAGAGGTAGGTTATCTCAGGACTTGCGCATGTCATCTTTGTATTTTATCCGTCTGATGTGTGGGACGTTTTTTTTTTCCAGATTGAGCTAGAGAAAATGAGAAGAGCAGAAAAAATGACCCACGCACGAGACGAGTGAGTATAACAATGCTGCTACTAAATCATTTTTCGTCCGACTATGATAAACTTCCTGGTACAGACGTGCCACGCCGTGATCGTGCTTTTGCTGTGTCCAAGCTTTTGATTGGATTAAAAATAAACTCGCGCGCTGTGATTGGTTCAAAGAATGTCGCTAATTCTGTACCGTTGCGGTGCCGTATGCTGTTACTTTTCACGGTCATACGATATCCAACATCGATGAAACGCTCATCTTCACAATTATGGTTATTGCCGTCACTATGATCGCTATCATTGAGAGAACAATTATTGTTTTTATGCGCTGTTATACAAGCGCGCACGTTGCTATGAAATGTCGACAATTTTGCGAGTTTTATGTGCGTTCAACATGCGCAACTTCTATCGTCTAATTTCTTGTTTTAGGAAAATTTAAATTACTTTCTGTTTTCTACTTGCAGCGGGTTTCTGCGCGAGATAAATTGCGACAACTTAAAGCTATGACACGCGCACAAATTTTGCGAGTTTTATGTGCGTTCAACATGCACAACTTCTATCGTCTAATTTCTTGTAGGAAAATTTAAGTTACTTTCTGTTTTCTACTTGCAGCGGTTTTCTGCGTGAGATAAATTGCAACGTAATTTGTGCGCGTGTCATAGCTTTAATTTGTCGCGCCTTGCATTTCATAGTCTATAAAAATAACTGATTGATTTTTTACCGGTTTCCCAAGGAATACTGGCCATGGATCGATACCTACAAAGAAGACAGCAAAAGATAACAAACCAGTAACAGTACTCAAACCAGACACAAGCAAAGTCATGATCAAAGCACCAGTAAAGGTAAATGAACCCTAAAGCCTTGTTATCATTAGAGACGCAAGCCGATCCACGCCCGAAGCAAGCCGACGCAAGCCCGAAGCAAGCAAACGTAACTCCATAACCCTCACTCCAGGTTAAATCATTAAGAACATTTTTTGCTTATGCTATATATTCTTTGTGAACCTTTGTATTTCAAGCTTCAGTTATACACACGTTCATCCAGCGTCGACAGACATTATCGTACGTCACCTACAAAGACCCGCTTCGTGTCATGAAAGATTAAAGCGGGCATAAAGTCCACCTAAAGTTTGGAAAACCAAAAGTTATGACAACAGACACTTGGAAGTAATCCTTTTAAATATTGCCATCTTTTTCAGGTCGCTTTGGATTTCTTTGGACAGCCACTTAAACCCAAAACTTATAGTTCTTCACAAGAAGGTAACTTTTTAAAATAGTCATAGTCACCATGTAACGCGCGTTTAGCAACCTCTCGCGTGCCCCCAAAACTCAGTGAAAGCACGCCAATCAATGACCAATGCATTCGCTCAATACCAAACTTTGTACTTTTATTTCGCGTTGTACAAAACATTAAAATCTCCCAATCTAGCGCGTTTTAAACTTAAGCGCGCAACGCCGTAGAAATAGAATTAACAGATCAAAAACAGTTTTCCATGTTTGATACTCTGATCAAAACATTTTTGAAATGACTTTTCGAAATTTTGATCTTGTACTCTGAAAACGAACTTTGGAAAAATATCCTGTAGACAGGGGGAGGTGAAGATTAGGCGGACTGAGGGTAGGTGGGTCCACTNAACCCAAGTAAGGGAACCTATAAACTGCAAAGTCTTGGCCCCAGATATCTGGAATTCAAGGCAAAGCAAATGCAAAAGTGGCTCAGCTGATGACACATTGCCAATACCTTTCTTTAACCCCCAGAAAGTCATCCTGAAACACTTGAATGCAAGGCCACAGGGGGAGGGGGGTGGGGGGATCTATTGTTCCAGTCAGGGTTGTGGCACAGTAAAGTCCTATGGGTACTTTAAATTGCTCTTCTTGCCTGTTACCCTTGTGCATTTGTTCTTGTCCGTCATGAGCTTCTGCCTCATATTCTCACAGTTTGTACACAAACGTCATGGCCGACTATCTCTGGATTATGTACAATCAGCAGACATTGGACAGAAGGATCTTCACAAGAATCTCTTTGCCATAATGCAAGAGATCTTCCAACTGCCTAAACCAAAAAGAAAGCGTTTTGCAGGATTCACTGAAAACATGCGCCGCATAGATGCAAATGGAGGCCTTAGGGATGGACCAGGATTTGGTGGAAAATCTGCATTTCTAGGGCAGAGTGTGTCTGCATTGTCCGGTAGATTCCATAATATTCTTAGATCGGTGAGCTCTTGTGGCCAGTATGAGAAGCTTACACAAGGTATGGACAACAACTTTTACAAATAATTTGAATATGGTATTACCATTTTTACATGTACTATACTGTGATTTTTCAGAGCTTTTCAGAGTCTTTTCCTCGTTTGGTTTAGTAAAGGGTTTGTTCTGATAGTCTGTTTTGTTTGAATCAGGATTATTTGAAAATTATCTCAACATAAAGTTCAAGGACTCTGGCTTCAATTCAGTAAGTAGATTAAAGATACTATTCATCTGTCAGTCCATCCATCCACCCATCCATCCACCCACCCAACAACCTACCCTATCCACCTGTCCATTCACCCATCCAACCATTTTCCAATCTGTACACCCACCCACCCTTCCATGCATTCTCTTGCAATCATTTTCCCTCTACTCCAATCTGACCATCCATTCGTACATTCCTCTTCCATTTCTTTTTTCTCAGGTTTTTTATACATTCTCATGGTTTATCTCCCACTTTGTTTAGATCATATCAGGGACTGAATGGTTGGAATTCTCAGATTTCATAGAGCAACAAGTCAACTCGTCTCAGCAATACATCCTTCGTCGTTATAGTCCATTCTTAGCTGTGTCCTTCCATCTTCTCTACGCCACACCAACATCATCCAAGCTTAGTTATCCCAGCACCCAATACGAGGTATTCACCCTTTTAGGGCCACAGAGATGACACTTAACCCTTAAGCTTATTTGTGTAATGATTTAATTAATACCTTTAGTTTGTTAGCCATGTTGGATATCATAGAGCTGTTTCTGCCAAATGTTGTTTTGCATGCAATTAAAGAAAAGAACAGAAAGCTCAAATCACTGGTGGGTGGTCCCCTCACCTCCTTCCCCACCCCTGCCCTCTCCCTCCTTTGTGCTTTGCATTACCATGCCGACAATATTGTGGGTCCATCAAGTTTCTGATCATTTTTCAACAGTGTCACCTCAAACAAGTAAAGACTTCCAATTTGATAACAACAATGAAATCTGATGCATCACCTCGTATCAGACGATTCATGGATGAGCGAATCGCTTGTACTGAACTATTCCCACCATTATTAGATGTTCTTACACCAAATATGAGACCGGTAAGTAATTGACATGGCTTATATATAGGTCTGTGCTGTAAGTGAGGTGGCCAAAGAAAAAACATCCTACTGGGAAGCTTAAGGACAGCAAAAGTAAGCACATTAGGGAATTTCTCTCACTATTCTATCAATAAGAGTGTTCTTTTGGCTTTCCTTGATTTGTTTTTGCAGTTTTTGATATTATCCCTCTCACCCTTTCTCCCTGAAGGGGGTGGGGGGTGGGGATGAAAATTTCCTCAAAAACTTTGTTTTTACAAGCACCCCTTTGGACCTTTGGGACTTAACTCATTTTTCGAACCCTCCAAACAACCCATGAAAAATAAGCCTGTGGATGAACAGGAGCACTGTTACCCCACCCCTAATCCCCACCCCACATATCAAGTCAATTAATGCAAGGTATTTCATATATAGGTCAATATGCAGTTATTTAGCTCTCGAGAAAAGCAACAACTAGCTGAGTTGATCGATACCATGATTGCCTACAACCTGACCTACCACCAAGAAAGAAACTACGAGGGACAGTACAGCTATGTATTGGACCCGTAAGTGTAATGTCCCTGTTCAAAGATTTGATCATTTCTTCATCATATGATGTTCTCTCAGGCATCCCAGACCTCCTATATATCCTATATTTCCTATAATTTGTATAGGATCCTATAAAGAGCCTATATTTAAAGAAAACCTCCTTTATTTCCTATAAATAGGACGACTGATGGGTGATAGATTTATATTTTACACTGTTTAGCATATTTGGCGAAGGAAATAAAATCCCTTGTTACGGCACTGAAAAGCTATCTTAGCTCCTATAAAGTGCATATATTTTTGGGAAAAAATCCTATATTTTCCTATATTTAGAACTTGCACAGCCTATATTTCCTATCAAATTTGTCTAAAAAGTGGCTGGGATGCATGTTCTCTATACCCACGCTAAACCAGAATGCACCTTGTTGGTCAAAAAGCTTGAGGTGTGTAAGCCCTTCAGAAACTGGTGATAAGCAACGGACTGATGAGGCCATAGTGTCTCCCCCAATTTTCTTTGGAATAAAAGTTTACTCTGTTCTTTTGGCAGGAATGTTGAAGAAATTGTCAAGTTTCTCACTCTTCCTCAACACAAACAGCTGACATATGCAACAAAGCAACTGATCGCACGAGAGGTAGGTTATCTCAGGACTTGCGCATGTCATCTTTGTATTTTATCCGTCTGATGTGTGGGACGTTTTTTTTTTCCAGATTGAGCTAGAGAAAATGAGAAGAGCAGAAAAAATGACCCACGCACGAGACGAGTGAGTATAACAATGCTGCTACTAAATCATTTTTCGTCCGACTATGATAAACTTCCTGGTACAGACGTGCCACGCCGTGATCGTGCTTTTGCTGTGTCCAAGCTTTTGATTGGATTAAAAATAAACTCGCGCGCTGTGATTGGTTCAAAGAATGTCGCTAATTCTGTACCGTTGCGGTGCCGTATGCTGTTACTTTTCACGGTCATACGATATCCAACATCGATGAAACGCTCATCTTCACAATTATGGTTATTGCCGTCACTATGATCGCTATCATTGAGAGAACAATTATTGTTTTTATGCGCTGTTATACAAGCGCGCACGTTGCTATGAAATGTCGACAATTTTGCGAGTTTTATGTGCGTTCAACATGCGCAACTTCTATCGTCTAATTTCTTGTTTTAGGAAAATTTAAATTACTTTCTGTTTTCTACTTGCAGCGGGTTTCTGCGCGAGATAAATTGCGACAACTTAAAGCTATGACACGCGCACAAATTTTGCGAGTTTTATGTGCGTTCAACATGCACAACTTCTATCGTCTAATTTCTTGTAGGAAAATTTAAGTTACTTTCTGTTTTCTACTTGCAGCGGTTTTCTGCGTGAGATAAATTGCAACGTAATTTGTGCGCGTGTCATAGCTTTAATTTGTCGCGCCTTGCATTTCATAGTCTATAAAAATAACTGATTGATTTTTTACCGGTTTCCCAAGGAATACTGGCCATGGATCGATACCTACAAAGAAGACAGCAAAAGATAACAAACCAGTAACAGTACTCAAACCAGACACAAGCAAAGTCATGATCAAAGCACCAGTAAAGGTAAATGAACCCTAAAGCCTTGTTATCATTAGAGACGCAAGCCGATCCACGCCCGAAGCAAGCCGACGCAAGCCCGAAGCAAGCAAACGTAACTCCATAACCCTCACTCCAGGTTAAATCATTAAGAACATTTTTTGCTTATGCTATATATTCTTTGTGAACCTTTGTATTTCAAGCTTCAGTTATACACACGTTCATCCAGCGTCGACAGACATTATCGTACGTCACCTACAAAGACCCGCTTCGTGTCATGAAAGATTAAAGCGGGCATAAAGTCCACCTAAAGTTTGGAAAACCAAAAGTTATGACAACAGACACTTGGAAGTAATCCTTTTAAATATTGCCATCTTTTTCAGGTCGCTTTGGATTTCTTTGGACAGCCACTTAAACCCAAAACTTATAGTTCTTCACAAGAAGGTAACTTTTTAAAATAGTCATAGTCACCATGTAACGCGCGTTTAGCAACCTCTCGCGTGCCCCCAAAACTCAGTGAAAGCACGCCAATCAATGACCAATGCATTCGCTCAATACCAAACTTTGTACTTTTATTTCGCGTTGTACAAAACATTAAAATCTCCCAATCTAGCGCGTTTTAAACTTAAGCGCGCAACGCCGTAGAAATAGAATTAACAGATCAAAAACAGTTTTCCATGTTTGATACTCTGATCAAAACATTTTTGAAATGACTTTTCGAAATTTTGATCTTGTACTCTGAAAACGAACTTTGGAAAAATATCCTGTAGACAGGGGGAGGTGAAGATTAGGCGGACTGAGGGTAGGTGGGTCCACTTCCGCTTTCATCATCGTACAAATTGGTCGAAAATTCTTCCATGGTTTTCTCTCAAGGTTTACATGTTGTAATAACACCCTCCTTGGTGCCTCCCCTCCCTCTATGGTTTTTTATTATTATTGTCGTTGTTAGTGGACCCACCTACCCTTAGTCCGCCTAATCTTCACCTCCCCCTGTCTACAGGATATTTTTCCAAAGTTCGTTTTCAGAGTACAAAATCAAAATTTCGAAAAGTCATTTCAAAAATTTATTTTAGTTTTTAATTTTTGAATTCGAAAATTGAAAATTGACATTGATGAGATAATATTCGAATTTAGACATGATCATAAAAAATGAAAATTCAAAAATCAGGCAAATTTCATGTCTAATTCACGCCAACTAAATTGAAAAGCTCTTTGTGGAGTGTTACACGGACCAGAGTATCAAACACAGAAAACTGTTTTTGATTTGTTTTATAAAATAACCAACGCGCGAAAAGATCGAAAAAAAGCAAAGTCTAAGTAAATTCTCCCTACGTGCCGTCTTATTCAAACTGACCAATGAGCGCGCGCGATAGATTAAAAATGACGATAGCGTGTTTTGACACTCTCATCAAACATGGTTTTCGACCAATCATAGCGCGCGTAGTATCCCAATTATTTTATAATATAGACTTATTTTTAATGCGCAACAAATTTCACCATAAGACTGTCTGCAATGTGGCATCATACGTCACTCTTTCCAATACTTATGAACTTTTATTGCCGACAACGTGACGCGCGCCAGCTGCACCGCGTTTCTCTAAACTAGCTTACAGCACTCTAGTTTTCCTTGCGTTGTTTTTTGGTTTTTGATTGGTTTGAAGGACTAAAGTGCGATTTTGAGGCCCTGCTATACGCGGCAGAATCATTGCGCGCTGTTTTGCGAATAAAATCTTTACTAGGCCCACTTTTGCAATGTTTTGTGAAGTTCAAACAACTGATGCAAAAGAGGACACACCATTTTTGGGGTGCATTTGCGATGTTGGCGCCATAAGTCTGAGCCCAATCATTATGTTTTCTGGCTACCATCCAGCTTATCTCTGCCTTGCTTTATTTCAAAGGGTCAAATCCAGAAAGTAACACTAGAGAAAAACCCTCCCAGGTTATCTGGTTCAAATTCAACGAAGGTTACAGCAATGCGGTCAGGAAAAACGTAAAAATACAAGATTTTCTTTGATGTTCATATCATATTAACGTGAAAAAAATATCCACATTTTGATCGAGCAAATGTTTTGTAATAACGGCAGTAGTAAATAACAAGGAGGACAGGAGTAAAGGATGAAAGGAAGGAAGAAAAGCAGGAAAAAGAAATAATTTGTAAATTGACTGTATGTCATAGGACGTTAACAGGACTTTTTCTGTTCCGCTTTGAATAAAAATATATGAAATGTCTACCTGATGAATAACTAGAAATGTATTCACATATTGATCTAACAAGACGAAATGTAGTCTCCCCCACAGCCGCTTTCAGTGTCGTCACGCAACGCTTTCTCCCCTGACTAGCGGCTGCTTACCCGAGCACAACATTCCTTTCCTATGAATTAACCAATCACGGCTCAGTTCTCGAAAACCAGGAACCATTCGCGCCATATGGAAAGCACGATGCGTCGAAGGCTTCGAAATAGCAGCTAAGAAATTTCGCATCAAACAGTTTAATGATCATCAAAAAGACGCTATACGAAAGATTTTACAAGAAAAACAAGATTTCTTTGAAAATCTGCCTACTGGATATGGGAAATCGCTCAAAGGAATAAAATATTGACGCTCTAGAGTATAGCCCAGTAATTTCTTTCGAGACAAGCTCGAGGACTTTTTGAATAACAGGACGTTAGAAGGTTGGCCATAAGATAACGCTTTAGCTAACGATTCGTGTTCACTTTTCACGACTTTTCTAACAGTGTGAACAAAACAAAACAACTTTTCTAACAGTATCAAATTGAGCTAATCCTCGCAGTATACGAGAAGTAAATACCAGAACTGTGAGCATTCAGAAGTTTACAATGAATAACCGCGGAAGTCAACGGTGTGACAGTGTCAGATTTAAAAGTTATCTAGCCTTTTTGTGATTTTCTTGAGCTTAACACCTTGCATTCGTTGTTTAAAATGTGATCTGCGCGGCTCATCTTCTTCGTTTATTAGAAATACTGTCACACTTTATATTCGAATTCAATCTCTTAAATCTTGTCTCATTTAACTTCCAAGAGTCTAAATTACGCTTTTTAAAAAAGTTTTCCAGTTTCTTTTTGCTTCTAATATTTTGGTACGAGCTCGATAGCAAGTACAAACTCGAATTCACTGTCGGCCGATTAAACAATGTCGATAGCTAAACTTATGAAAATATAAATATTTTCTTTCTTTATGAACAAAGAAAACACTTAGTTCCGTCTCCAATAATATTTTTTCTAGTATTAAACATTTAACAAGAACAAATTCAATTTTAATTTCCCAAAGATTTTCTCCAACTTCCACTCAAATGCGTCTTAGAATTATTTCTCTAGTCTCGCGAATGTTTACGAGTTGTCAAATTCGAAACGTTTTGATTGGTTCTTGAAACACAATGACACTTATCTAATTGGTTGAACACAAACAATAGGAAAGGAATGTTGTGCTCGGGTAAGCAGCCGCTAGTCAGGGGAGAAAGCGTTGCGTGACGACACTGAAAGCGGCTGTGGGGGAGACTAGACGAAATGACGTCTGAAAACAAAATATTTGAGCTAAATAAATATCCAGCAAAGCTCACTGGATATACGATAGACAAGATCTAGTTCGTTTGAAAAATCCTTCGCCAACAAACAACAACAACAAAAAAAAAACGACAAAAAAAAAAAAACAGAAGCAAAATAACTGTAATTGAGTATAGGAACATTGCTCATCCGTCCAGTCGTACTGTCAGTCCGCCCCCGAGCTCGAAGAGTTCGTTGTTGACGTCATTAAAAAGTTGCTCATCCGTCCAGTCGTACTGTCAGTCCGCCCCCGAGCTCGAAGAGTTCGTTGTTGACGTCATTAAAAAGTCACACACCAAAAATACACTGGACGTCCTTCGTTATCAAGTATTCTTACAACTCAGAAAATCGGTGGTTTTTTTACCTTGGGGTTTAGAAACCAAGTTGGTATAAACATTTTTTTAAGCAGGAGAACTTTTGCTGTCATTTTCAGCAAATTGTCGTCTATCGCTTTGGAATTAATTATGTAGCATGTCTGACCTTTTGAAGTTAACCTGAAAGTTTAGGAACAGCAATTTTCACGAAATCTTTAATAAAAAATTAATCTCTCCCAAAGAACTGCTCAGATTCTTTAGTAACGTCGCAATTACATTGCCTGCGGCCCTAAATCCACGATATAAAGAGTATTATTTAAACCTTTTGTTTTCTCATAATATTGTGAGGTCACCCTGGCGATATTTGTGTTTAAGTTCCACTTCCTTGAATATGACGTCAGTACGTGAAACCAATCATAATTCCTTTAAGATTTCGTTACTCGAATGGACCAATCAGAGACGCTGTTAGGTATGCAGATGACGACTAGATTGTTTAGTGTAGCGAGAAATAATGCACAAATTTCAATCATGCAGTTTTCTTCAACAAATTGATCCAACTTGATTATGTTTTGATCGTTTGGAAGCCAAATACTCATCCCCACGACCATAAGGTGTCGCAATTTGAATCGTTATTGGACGCCATGGGGCTAATATAGTTATGAAAAGTCGTATCGGACCCGAAGATCAGGACAACGCGATGGAACTCCAAACTATCACCACTGAAGATGATCCGTATAGCGGTGAGAAAAAAAACTTTTTATGGTCAAAATTTCAGCCTGATTTCTATTCATGATAAAAGAGATTTGATTTACTTTGCTAATTTGAGTGATTTTTATGATTTTTCAGTCGATCCTTACTCAATAGGCCAAGATGAAGGAACGAGTAGCATCAGCCGCAACCTCCCAAGCAGAGCCGCTAGTGCTCGACATGGGACAGTTAGAAAACGATCTATCCGACGAAAATCTATCCCAATGGTTGAGATGGAAGATAAAGATGAATTGAATGATTATGAAAGTGTCAAAGCAGTGGCTGCTCCGATGGAAAAGAGGCGAGAGTTGAAGTAAGTTTGATGAAGAACCGAGCTCTTCTTTGGCTTGCATTTCGTTGATTACCAACCCGTACAAGTTGATACTAGTAAATAACATATATATATTTTGTCTTTGAAACTTTGTTTTTAATCATTCATCCATTGATACTTGAAGCTACTTGTGGTGTAGAAAAATTTGATTATCGAGTTGTTTATAACAGAATATTTCGTTCGCTTGGGATAACTAGCTAGTTTTCATTTTATTCAATTTAAAGGCTAAACAGCTTTATATACTGTAAAGCTTAGTGAATTTGAACCATAGAAAACTCGTAGTGCGAGATATTTTGAATTCTTTTTAAGCTTACTTGTGAATTATTTATATGAATATTTCTAAGAATTTTAAGTACTTAGTAAAGTTACTTTTTATGAATTTCAAGTTTTGATATTTATTTTCTTCTTTTCTACTGAATTCAATTCTTTGTTTTATGGCACTGATGGACATATTTTTGACGTGTTTGCTTTCCAAAATATTATTTTGTCTCCTTTAAATTGGTAAACATTAAACAAGCAAAATCCCTAAATACTTTAGTATTAGATTTAATACATCTTGCAGGAGATAAAATAGCTAGAGTATAGTGAAGTTCATGACACAGGAGTTATACTTCAGCATTGGATTATAACATGCATCTTGCTGGTAGTTGCTCTCCAGTGCAAATAGAGTACAGTAACCTCAAAGTACAAACCAGGAGATTGTCTATGAGATAGAGGGTCACCTTCAGTTTTCTGTGTATTGTTTTCAGAGGTCACATAGACTGGAGATTTCATGACATTTAAATTCATTGGATGCATTAAATTTCATTTGACCCATTAGATTTCTGATATTTAAGGAAAGTGGTTAGAATTGCCCTTCATGACAGCAGATGGTGGTTTTATTCATTGGGGTACCTGTGGTCACAGTTGATTTTCCCAACCATCTATATTATCCATCCATTTGTTTATAAATCACCATTTACAAATTCAAACAATGCCTCTGTGTTCCTCGATTACAGACTCATTTACTCAGGTGTATGTAGTCTCATTTCAGCATCCAAACACATTCACAAATACCAATCAATTTGTTAATGAGTTTTCAGAAATCCTAGGTTTTGTGCACCCACCTTCTAAACATATCAAGATGCTTTTGTTTGTGTGAGTAAATATGAGGCATACTAGCTGTGACATGTAGCCAAAAAACTTAAGGCCAAAGATAAATACTAATGTAGATTGAAATGCCTTTAAGAGCAAAATATTAATTATCAAGGAAGACAGATAAGACATTTGTAAATATTGATGTCTAGCTTTATCTGTCATTATCTTGATAGGAAATATATTTTTTGATGTAGCCAAAATCATATATTGAAAAATATGGACTTTTGATTTTAAAAAATCACGATCACCTGCAAAGAATTATTTCACCCAAAATTCATTTATGACAATTATTGATATAAATATAAATTAATTTATAATGATAATAATTTATAATCTAGTCTAAAGCCAGAATTGTATTTTGAAAGCTTAATTTACTGAATCAAATATTCTTATTGTCAAACTTTCACTTTTTAAAATATTTCATTTTATTGCTTTCAGCCTTTAGTTTATAAGTACTTTGATCTTTAGATTGTTTTAATCTATCCAATATCAAAAATATCTAAGGCTCAGTCAAACGTCAAACTTCACATGAGCCAAACCAAATTGAAACAATGGATAACAAGGCAAACTTCTTTGATGTCATTAGGCTCGGCTCGTGTGAAGTTTGACATTCTACCTGAGCCTTAGAAATTTTTTATATTGGATAAATTAAAACAATTTTAAAGATGACTGTATAAAATTGCTGTTGTCAAAATGAAATGCATCTTATCAATATCTTGGTTCTTCATTATTCTATAGGGCTTATATCTGGACATCTAAATTATTACCCATACGAACCACAGCATCCATTAATTTCTTTATCTAGGCTAGTGGAATCAAAATTTCTCAAAGGATTGTTTTTACGGGTCTTCTCAAACTAGTTAATAATTCATGAGGAGAAAACAAAAAAATTATTAGTGTGAAAGAGGTTTGACAATGTGTTCTTATTTAGCATAATATTTGTGCAAGTAATTCTTGGAATTTCTCCAAAGTTCAAAAATAGTTTGAGAAGTATTATCAAGCACTTGAAAGAGTGTTTCATTCTCTTATCCAAACACCTCAATCTTAGTTAAAAATTCCTAACTCTATCTGGTCAGAGTTAATGAAATTAATTTATTAACTATGGTCTGGTTAAAGGTACTTAACATTGAGTTGCGAATTTTAGATTGCTGCAACTTACAAACATGAGAGATGGTTAGTATGAGGTGTAGGCACTGAGGGTGGTCACTGCCAGGGTTTCTTTATGTTTAGCCTATGGCTATTACAGCTGTCTTTTACCAATTTTATGTATTTTTGTTGTTTAGTGTATGTAACTTTGCTGAATTTTGGTACTGATTATTGGATATTCATTCATTCATTCATTCAATCATTCATTCATTCATTTGCTTGTTTTATTTCAGGAGGCATCAACATCAACAACAAGCCAGACACATATCTTGCTGGAAAGCGTTCAAACTTGGGACAGCAATGGTGAATATTTTAAAAAAACTATCAATTGACAATATTCTATTACTGTCTTCATTTCATATTCAAGATAATTCTAAATTTTTAGAGTACATTATTTTCACCTGGGGGGGGGGACTTTTTCAACAGTTTTGTTTCTTGCTGTCATTACTGTATTATCATGAAGGATTTTTGTAATAACATTTTTGTTGTTTTATCCAGCAATGGAAGAGATTCTCTGCAGGCATCAAGGAATTCTTTCAAGATATTGAGCTTTGGAAAGGTCATTTAAAACAAGTAGAAGGTGAGTGATAAGTACTCAGAGTCAGTACTCAGATGATGATGGTTACGGGAAACCATAAAGCTTTATAATCTAAGTAATAATGCTGATGATAATCTTAACTTCCCTAGGTCGTTTTGGCAATGGAGTGTTGTCATATTTTCTTTTTCTGAAGTGGCTCATGTTCCTCAATTTATTCCTTTTTGTCCTGGTGTTTTCGTTCACTGGTATTCCTACCCTGATCCAACATTACCAACCACCTACATATACCAATGCAAGCACTACTGTTCATCGTACAAATAGCTGTATATTTGGTTATCCAGAGGACCGGTATATCAAAGAGGACAAGATAGATGATATGATTGTTGATTTTATTACAGGCCAGGTATGAAATAAGTTATTAAGTAAGTATAGTAATAAATAAGTTAGTAAGAGTCTGAAGAAAGGAATACAGACTTAAATTGTGACCTTTGTAGGCAAAGCCATAGACATTTTGAGGCTTGACTGTGACAGGTTTTTTGGCTTGAAAACCCCTGTCAGTAACATTCATAAAATAAATGGACTACTTTGACGATACAATGGCCATCTTGCCAGGGGTAAAAACAAAACAAAGACCATGGAAAATATATAGAGTTTCGCGTGTGTTTGTCTTTCTTTTATGAGTAAAGTGCTCAAAGTGTTGTCTTAAATCCAACTTTTGTTGTACCCTCTCGTTGTGAGCTTTTCATTTAAATTGACATTATTAGTACCACAAAGCTTTATTTGTCCCCAAGATGTCCCATAATGCCTTGCAATCCAAGATATCACAACCATGTTGACAAAGTAGTTCATTGACTGTACATTTTATACATTTGTTTTAAGGGCTGGATCAACACTACCATCATGTTCTACAGCAATTATCCAAGCACAAATCTCAACCTTGATTTCAGTTACAATTTGCCTCTGGCATACCTGATTGTTGGTGGGGCATATTTCTTTATCAGTCTGCTTCTCATGATTAAAAAGTATGTATTTGTGTTCATTCCTTTGATGGTGGCTTTTGTTGCAAAATATTTTTGTCATCCCTGACAAGGAACAGCACACAATGCAAATATTGGATTGAATCATTTAATACACCTTTTTACAGTTCCATTCAGTGGCCATGAATAATAGTTCCTAGCCGAGGCTGGAGTTACCGCGCATGATAAACTGCAGTTTTGCTATGCGCAGAAACCCCAGCCTCGGCTAGGAACTATCATTCGTGGTCCCTGAATGAAACTGTAAAATGGAGTATTTTGCAAAGAAAGTGCGTGATACAGGAAAATACTATGAATGATATGAGACTTCAGCACTGCTTATCTGCTTGTGATCGGGTACGATAGAGTTTAGAGGGAGTTTGAGCATTTCTTTGCATAATTAAATGATAAAAAACCTTATAAATCAGCTAAGCATCTGTTACGGCTGTGCATTTTTACTCGTCGCTTGTATTTTGAAAAAATAATATAATAATATTTTCATAAAAATACACAGCCCTATCAGATGCTTAGCCGACTGACAACCTTTACTAAGGTAGCGAGTCTCTTGTGTGCAGTCACATGCATAAACATGCTTGGATTGACAAAACTTGAGGGAAGCATTTCACTAGTGTACACTCCATGGTTCTGACTCAGACAATAGTTAACCAATCACTGACTTTGCAGCAGCTTTCCCAGTGGAGTTAAAATTTATCTGAAAGAGTATTACAAGGCTTAAGAGGCAATTTTATTTTAGTTTCACAGGACAGAAAACTATTCAAATGTATAGTCAATTTTTCGTGATCAGAGTTTTAAAATCTAAGATATTCCAGTTAATTCGTTGAGCTTATGAGACATAGCAATGTAACTAAGGGGAGTTGGGACCATGAATACCCATAGCATAGCGAGCCAAATAAAAAAGTATATAAATAGGATATGAATAACAAAATGAAAAAATTTAATTTTTTTGAATATATGTTTTTCTGTTTCATTCAGTTTGACAAAAAGTTTTCAAGAAAGTTACATCGAAGGTGGAAACAAATTTTATTCCTACTGTAACAAAGTTTTTGCAGCCTGGGACTATTGCATCAGTGAAGAAAACACTGCAAATGTTAAATGCCAGAATATTGTTCAGGACATCAATGTAAGTAAGAAGCACTGTCTTATGATTGAGAGCTTGCGATAACAGCCAATCAGTCGTCAGTCATGATCACCAGCCAAATTAGTTTTAGCTTGGTTATACCTCATTTCTGGCTCAAATTCTCTGGTCAAAATGACCAGCAAGGCAAAGATTTGGCCAGACAGTAAACAATTCTTGCCAAACTTCGTCATATGAGTGGCAGTTATTTATTAAAACCCCTGTTGTTCTAATAGACTTTACCATGATTTCAGATTGACCATGTACCATTTCCTAGAGTATTATAATTCTTTGTTTAACAGTGTTGTGCTTGAGAAGAAACATGAATATGGATACAACTCAAACAATGAATGGGGAGGCATAACTTTTTTTCTTTTTTCTTCTCGTACTTAAGGCTGAATTAGCTGAAGAAGACCGACTTGAGAAAGTACAAGCACGTACCAAATCAAGAAAAGCTGCACTCTATTCTATAAGAGTTTTGGTATCTGTGTTGGTAATTGCAATTCTGGTGGGAGCAATCTATGCCATTATTTATACAGTTGAAGTTTCTACTAACCCAGTAAGTATTTGGATATTATTTGGTCTTTGGAGTGAGAGAATTATTAAGAGCAAGGTGGAGCAGATTGAATATGAGTGGGAAAAGTTATAGCAATAGACCTTTTCGGCTCTGACGTAATGTTTTCCCATTTTAGACCGAGTGTTATTCCCTAGAGTATCAGTTCTTTGTTTAAGGTTTGCGCTCGATTGCACATGAGAAGACACATGAATATNGTCAGTGGGCTAACATGATAGTAAGGGTCGATAAGTGCAGCACTTTTGGAATCAAAAAATATCTTACCAAATCAGCTCAGTATTTGCCAAAACTCCTAATTAATAATGATCTCGTGCCATGTGTCCATATCTTTCCCATATCTCGATTACTTACTTTGATTTCAAAATGACAAATCAAGAACATAAATCTGAACTGACCTCCCTCACCAATGAAATGATGGTTGACATCGATACCAAACCTCTACATCCTAAAAATAAAATCTTGTTGTATAGCCGCTATGTCCTCTCGAAAATATCCTGGCATCTGACTGTCGCTGATTTATCTAAAACATGGATCACAGAAAACCTCGATTCTGAAGTGAACAAATATCTACGTAAATGGCTTGAACTTCCTGTTTCTGGCACACTTAGTAACGTCTTCCTCACACGCAACAAGTTTGGTCTGAATATCTGCCCTCCTTCGGTCAAATTCATCCAGTGTCAAACAGTCCTTCGTAACGCATTAAAAACTTCCCCCAATGAATCAATAAAAGTCCTTTGGAAGTCTACTAGCAGCAACACTAATATTCAATACGACATTTACAAATCCACAAAGGATGTCATCAAAGACTTCCGCTACTCACAGGAACATAAATTGGAAAATCAACTGACCCTTAAAGGCTCCTTCTTCTCGAGTGTAATGAAATATTCCCTGCCACAACTCAACAACATCTGGTCCATTGCCCAATCTAAACTACCAAAAAACATCTTCAACTTCTCAGTCCGTTATATCAATAACACTCTACCCACACGCAAAAATCTCGCGAAATGTGGCATATCTTCCAACTCTGACTGTTCATCATGCCTCATGCCTGAAACTCTCCTTCATGTAGTAGCTGGCTGTAAAACGTACCTTGAACAAGGCCGCTTCACCTGGCGTCATAACTCTGTCCTTCATTTCCTCGCTCGTCACCTTCCAATCACCAGCAACTCAACCCTATACGTCGATCTCCCTGGATTCACAAGCCCATCAGTCATAACTGGCGAAAGTCTGCGACCTGATTTACTCCTGGCCATCCCAAAGAAGTGTCTTTACATTTTGGAACTAACAGTTGGCTTCGAATCTAATCTTAAAAATAATGTTGTTCGTAAAAATCGTAAATATGCCAAGCTCGTAAATGAGCATAGTAATCAATTCACAAAAGTAAAATTTATCAACTTATCAGTCAGTACTTTAGGTGTTTTTGCAAAGGAATCATCTGATTTCCTTACTATGTTAAACGAATTAGGATTGAAAGCAAAACAACAAAAATATTTARTAAGAAAAATAACCGAAATAGTCATCCGATCTACCTATTATATTTTTTGCAGCAGAAATAAGGAATGGCTCGATCCAGAACCCTTAAAGTATTAGACCCCCCTCTTTGAATTGATTTTTTTTTCTTTTTCTTTCTCGTATTTTATTCTTATCACTTTTTTTTAATCTTTATAAATATTATATATATATATATATATATATATTTTTTTTTTTTTTTCATCTTTCTCGTTCCGAAGTATGTATTTGTGTATGTATGTGTCCAAGTAGTCAATTGTAAATTACCTAATGATAGTGAGATTTACAATTGTTAACGTAAAAGATATGAAAATGAAATAAAGTTTCCATTATTATTATTATTATTATTATTATACATCCACCATACTTGAAAAACATATTAACAAGCAATGGCAATTTTCTTTGACAGACATATCAGAAAGACAAGTCCAACATAGTGAAGACCATCATCAGATCAGCACCATCATTAACCATCACTGTTCTCAACTTGCTGCTTCCACCTTTCTTCCAAATCCTCTCTCAAGTAGAGGAATGGAGTCCTAGGTTTGAAGTTGCTTTGAATCTATGGAGGTAAGAACATTGTATATCACAGTCTCAGACCCCTAAACTCTTCACTTTAATAGGCCCATTGCAGTTAACAGTCACATGTCTTTACTGGTGAGCAAAATTTTTTATTTTATTTGAAATTGGTAATTCTTTTTAGCTACTTGTAAAGAACTGAATAAACGATGTGTAACCAGAGTGTCACAAAATGCAGTTTTATTACGATCTCTCGAAACAGGTTGTAGAAAGTTTGTTTGCTCACCAGTATATTTCACCCATGGGAATCAAGATGTTCATTCATTTGCTCTCAGTGAATTAATCAGCATGTGATTACTGAGCTGCAAAGGGCCTATTAGTTTATGTTAATGAGACTAAGTATACGAATTATTAAAGACTTGAATATAGAGTTTTGTGTGCTGTGATTGGTTGAACAACTAAATATTATGAGGTGATAACCACTTGTTGTGAGCAGTGATTATGAGGTTCCCCAAAATTTGCCAAAGCATAGTAATACTAAAACGTTTTTTAATCCTTAATTTTGTCGTTTCTCTAATATGAATATTCACCAATATTCTCTTTGCCTTCAGTGATTAATTGTTAAATATCAATTACTTCTAAAAAATGGTGAAGGGTTCTTAGTCTTATCCATACTAGTTATTGGTGACTCTCTGCAGTCCTTGTATTAGTAAAGTTTTTAACTGGAAGGTGTGTTTTTTTCTTTTCCGAAACAAGACAGAAAATTTCAATCGATATTAAATATTTCCAACAGGACTGTACTGTTGAGGCTGGCCTCTGTAGCTGTTCTTATGATAACACTTTATGCCGAAGTTGGAAATCGATGTAACGTATTAGACAGATCTGTTTGCTGTCAAAAGGCAAGTCAAAAGTATTGCAATACATTAGTGAGCAGTTCATTTGTAGCATTTTTCCCGTGCTTAACTACAATTATTATTGATGTTTTGTCTATCAGAGTTGGGAAAATGAGATAGCATCTCAAATGTATATGCTCATATGGATTGACCTCTTTGTTGTCATCTTGACAACTGCTGTCTTGGAAACAGTGAAAAAGTAAGTATTACTTGCATTGCATGTTGCTTGTGTTGGATTAAAAAAGCACCACATCTTTAACAGCAACTACTTCTCTTGCCGTAACTTTCCTCCTCCATGTAATTTGGGGTTTAAAGGTTGCTGAGGGATAGACATTTTCTGTTGTGCCCAGTACACTACCCTATAGCATTCAATTACAGAATTAACAGAAGCAATTCATTTATTTTTCTCAGGTTACTGCACAAACACACCAAGCTGTTCAGGAAACTTAATTTAATGCCAGAGTTTCAGATCCCAAAGAATGTATTGGACTTAGTGTATGGCCAGTGCCTTATCTGGTAATTACCTGACTTTCAAATATTTATAGTTCACTAACTCTCCTTAGTCACTGTTGCTATGTCACACAAGCTTGACGAGTTAGCTAGAATATCTCTCAGAATTTAAAACTCGGGAAAATGGATCATGAATTGTTTCGATTATTTATTATCCTGTGAACATAAAATAACATTACATGGTACTCCCACATATGGACTATATGGGGATGATCCGCTGAACAGGGTATGGTTTTTCAAGCTTCTTGTCATAAACAGGGTATGCAATTTCACTCAAGTTCCAAGTTCTTCCTGAGTTTCCTGTCATATTCAGGGTTTCTACTTTCGTATTGACCAAAACTGGTTATTATAGTCGTAAAAAAACGATACGCAAGATGACATGATAATTGAAACAGGAACTTAGTGCAATTAATTATATCTTTTGTCATAAACAGGGTCTACAAATTTGAGCTTTTTTGTCATAAACAGGGTACCCCTTTCAGAATCCCAGCAGAACACCCCTACCCAAATCCTGCCAGAGTACCCCTCGGGCCTTGAAGTACTCTTTAAAACAGAAACTGTGTAGTTGTTTGTGGGACTAGACTTTATTTCAACTGCCAGGGAAAACTTCTGCAACAGTGATTGGTTTGCCGTTGTCTGAGTCAGAACTATGACTTAATAATGACAATGATTAGTGGTTCAATAGGTACTGATCATAAAATGACCTACTCCTCCCCTGACAAGCAGTTTTAAAATTTCCCAATGACACCTGACAACATAAAAAATGTGTGCTCTACAAGAAAAGCCTTCCACTTACAGAATGATGCTAAAATTCTCTCCTTAACTGTATTCTTTAGGATTGGAGCTTTCTTTAGCCCACTCATTCCAGCCATGGGAGTGGTCAAACTCTTTATTACATTTTATTTGAAAAAGGTATATTAGAATTTAAGTTATTTGAAATTGTTCAATTCCCTATTAGATTGAGATAACTCCTTCCCATTCTACCAATACTACATTATTTTATTATTACCATATTTTTTAAAGCAATGGCTTTAAGTAGAGGTTTGATCTGTGAGATRGCCATGCCCTGACTTTGATTAGCACAGAGGTCATTTCAGGGTACAAGAATAAAATTTGAACTACGTTATGAACACATCGAGTCCAGCATCTACTTGGAATCATTGATTCCTGGTCACTCCGACAAGTTATTTTGAGAAAGGTCTATTATGGCTTACTATCAATCACATGACTTTTTGGAGTTGACTGGGGGGCAAACAAGCGGTTGACTGGGGGGCAACTAGTGGATGCTAGTCAAAACATATCAAAATAAGTCCTCGAACTATTGTATTTGACTATTTTCACAACTTCAAACCAGAAAACAAGAGATCAAAACAACCTCCAGGATTCTACAAGCCATCAAAAAGAGCTATTACTGGAAGTGACATCTATTGATAGCAACCTATTGTTAGAAGATATTATCAATGTTTTCTTGACATTTGTGTGACACATTTTTTGCAGGTCAGTTTGATATACAACAACAAACCATCCAACAAGCCCTACCAGGGTGCAAGGTCAAACTACCTGTTCACTGTCCTACTCCTTATTACCTTCTTCATGTGCTTGGTGGCAGTCGGATGGGGAATTACCAAGTAAGTTGTAAAACTGTTATTTCACAAGGCAAAAGATTATACCTAAAAAAGATGATTTCATGATTGTGCCTAGTCTGCATAGCCAGGCGTTCCTTGTGGGTGGGGTAGGGGAGAGGTGTCTGGGAAGATTTGGATAGCGAGAGAGAAAAAGAACGGAATGCCTGCCAGCAACCCTTGTGAGCTAATTTGTTCCCCAAAAAAATTATCACTTCTTTTTTGTTGTTGTAGTTGTTTTTGGTGTTGATAGTTGTCATTTGCTGCTATTTACTTTGTTGTTTAATTAGCTTATTATTGGCACTTGTTCGATTTATTTGTTACATTAAATACAATTTGTATTTTTCTAAAAACGTTCCATACTCAGATTTCAAGATTATAAATATTATAACTATTTTTCCCTTTCTCTAGGGTTCGGCCATCATGCCATGGACCTTTCCTGTAAGTCCTTCATCTTGTTATGAGTTACTTACCTACTATGTCCACAGTCTTGTGTTAATGCAAATGCTTCCACCCCTTATTCAAAGAAATTAGTTTACAAAGTTCCACAAAACAAGTTTAAAAAAAAAGATAAATAAATTTGATTTCCCAACAAATTTTCTTTCCTTATCCCCAAAATCACTTGAGTGAAGACCAAACAATGGTTTCAAGTTGAGGTTGGACCTGATGTGTTTATACATTTACTGTATTTTTTGAAATCCTCAACTTGGAGTCATTGTTTTGTGGGCACTCATTTTAAGCGAATTAGAAAAAGCTCTACTAACCCTAAAATATTATTAATTTACCTGTTTGTTTTTATCTGCTTAGCAATCAATACTGTGATGAAAAGGAAATCATTAATACTTTGTCAGACGTGATTAACACATGGCCAGCTGGTATCAGAGAAATCATTAACTACATCAGTACAGCGGCATTCATCTTTCCAGGCCTTATGGTCTTCTTGTAAGCTGTCTTTGTTGTTAGAAAGTTTGACATTTTTCAGTTGTCTCTCTTCTCTTTTCCCCTCCTATCCTTGTTATTCCCTTTCTCTTCTCTCCATATTTTCTCTCATTTTCTTTCTTCTCTAATTCACTCTCACTCTCCTCTCCTTCATTTCTTTTTCCTTACTCTTTTTTTTCCCCGTATCTATTCCCTTTCATTTCCCCCTTTCTTTCTAACATGTTTCTCACCTTTCATTGCAGTTTGCTCATCTATTACTTCCGTTCAATGATTAAAGTCCATCTTCAAATGATTGAGATGCTAAAGGATCAGTTGGTTTTGGTAAGTTGCTTGTCCCAAGTTTTTGTATTTCCTTGAGTATTATCTGCAAAGAAGGGAATAAAACTCAAGAGGATGATGACATGTGGTCTAAAATCTGGTTAACAGGCCATTTGCACTTACAGATCATGTGACCCTGCCCCCTAACTCAACCTGTTGTTTAAAAATGAACATCAAGAAATAAAAAAAACACCTTGATATTAAGTAAGGCAAGGTTTCAGCTCATAATATCGACCATAGGAGAAATAGAGGATATTACATGGGCGCGCGGAGATACGAAATTTATCTTCGAGTGTTGAAAAGATCTCTCACAAATGAGCGCCCATGTATCGTATCTTCAAGCGCCCATGTAATATTCTGTTTATTATATAATTATCAATGACAGTATGTTTTGGCTTTTTCAGGCAATTCTTTCCGCGTATTTTTGAATAGCCATCGCAATGGTGTTATTTTCACACGTGAAAATAACATGTTATTTTCACGTGTGAAGATATCAATTTTTCAAAATAGAGAAAAATAGATATTTCATCGGTAATTATATAATAAATAACATTAATAAACATAAAATGAAATATCTTATAAGAATGTTTTTGAAAAAATGTGATGGATGGCAAAGTTTGTAAAAGTCTCTCACAGGAATTCTGTTCTAGCCAAACTGGAGAGGCTGTCCGCAACAACGAAACTAGTTTTTTAAAGGCTAAAATACACATAGTTCGTATAAGACAATAATATATTAAGAAAGTGAGAATTCACTAGTTTAAATTTATGACGATTGAAATTCTGAGAGCAACACAGTTTGAAGGCCAATACAGTGAATTTTTAAAAATTGAACTTATTTGTTATGGTGCAATGTTTGCCCATAGGCCATTCATCATTTTCTTGAAAATAAGATTCTTTGTTTGAATTATATCCATATTCATGTGTCTTCTTGCGCAACCATTAAACAAAGAAATGATACTCTATGGAATGATATGTGGTTTGTAGTAGGAAAACATTTACTATGCTCATAGAACTATTTTTCATGACAGTAAAATGTTGATATAATTTATTTTGTCCGGCTTCAAGCTGCATTGGGAATATGCATCTATAGGGTTCTGTTGAGAATATCTATAACACTCCTTTTGTTTGTTTTATTTTATATAGGAGGGCCGTGACAAGAGGTACTTGATGGAAAAACTAATAATGGCTGGTAAAAGAGATGCKGCAAATGAGGATGAGGATGGAAATGCATCTGGAGTCACGAGAGAAACACAGGTCCAGCCTGGTCGGAATTCTGGGAATTTAAATTTCTGAATGTGTTACGATGTCTGACAACACCCATCCAAAGGTTCTTACTTATAAAGAGTGGGATTTTTTTTTATAATCTGTTTATACAACCAATAGACCTTTCCTGAATTTGCTTGACTGACCACGAAACAATGGTTTGAAGTCGAGACTGAACTTGATTCTTTTATTGATCAAGTTCAACCTCGACTTGAAACCATTGTTTTGTGATCAGTCAAGCGAATTCGGGAAAATCCTATTTAAATTGAATTGCATATATTGGTCAATAATCATTGTATGGTTAAGCACACATATTGATATAAGTCAGCTCTGGGTGGGGGTGATTGGATGTGGGGATTTTAGGCCACCCAGTATTTTAAAATAGCAAAAACAACTTAAACATTGTAGCAATAGAGATTTGCATGATCACGTGCTGTCAGTCATGTTAGATGGGGAAATTGAATAATTTATTTCTTGTGTGTGTAAAATGAATGTTACATAAGGGTTTTTTTGTACATTTATGTATAAATCTTTAAATCATGTATGATTTTTTCACTCATCATGACTGTTGTCATGCAATGCCTAAAATGTCTATAAGCCCTACCCTACCCCCTCCCTCCTCAATCAAAACTGGTCTGAAGTTCTCAATAGATGTTATGTAAAGTGTGTAAACTTTTATAGCCAAACTATGACACTATAAAGTGAAAGTTATTGTTATGCTTATCAGCATATGATAGCTCTATGGGTTACCAATAGAAAAAGAATTTTGCATTTGTGTTTTTTTCTAGAATGTTTTAGCAAACAGGTGCAAAGAAAACTCTGAGAGTGACAAGGGAACTAGTTTTTGCATTTAGCTAATTACAGAGGATCCTAGGGATTGAAAATCTCAACCAAACTTCTCTTTATGTAGAGATAGAAACTTTTGAGGTTTTTACAACTACTATTCCTTAACAACTATATATGTGTATTTATACATGTTTAGGGATCAGCAATTTTAAAAACCTTAGTTTCTGTTATTGAACATTTCATTTTATTTTATTGAAGAAAGGTTCCTCCTAGTCAGGAGAAAGGTGTGCAAGAACATGGCACATTTATATAGCTCCTTTATTTCTTGGCCTTCCACAGACACCACCATCTCCCCCCAAACACACACACACACACTGGTCTATCGGCGGTGGCAATCAACGCAGTCCCAAAGCAAGCATTGCACCATTTATGCATAAGAGGGTGACTGTTTAATAATAGACATTCGTAGTTTCAAAGTATAATTTAAGGTTAGAACTAATAGTTCCAAAACATATTTATTTGTGTTGTCGCACATCATGTTATATCTTATTAGAATCATTTGCTAAACTATTAAGTTATCATTAGAATTACAAGTTATCAGTATTTAAGTTTACCATATAGATTACAGTTAAAAATGGTCATACACTTTGTTAAGAATATCAGTGAACCTTAAGGAAAAGCAATAGCATATGTTGCATTATCACCATTGTTTTCATTGCTATGTGCTGATCGAGACAACAGTCACGACAGAGAAGTCTTGCAATAAACTACTGTCAATCAGTGCCTTTACATACTCTAATTTATGCCCGATTTCCATGTCGCAACTGTTGTCTCGTGTGGCAATGAACCTTGGTCACCTTAGAATAATTCTTGTGGCAGTGGTGTTTATTATTTGGTTTGGTTGGTCAAAATATTCACAAGTAACACTGAAGAAGTTACTCCAAATTATTTGCTCAATATTACTCATACTCTAGTCTTTTATGATTCAAATGATTTTGGATAACATGATGATTTTTTAACTTTCAATAAATATTTTTGTAGCTGATTTAGATTATCTATGATTGCTTGTTATGATTATTGGTTTGTGATTGATTTAATAGTTAATTTATTAACTATTATTAAAGAGTTATAATGCTTACCATATTTCTATTGAATTATAGTGCAACAGTTGACGTCGACCTTGGAACTATGATATGTGTATAGATTAATAACTGGTAAATTCAAATGTTTCCCCCCCCCCCCCCCCCCCCCCCACACACACACTT